GGAGCGTGCCAAGACTGCAGTGTTAACTGACAACCATCTACAGACTCTCGGCCTATACGATGGAGGAATGGCCCGAAGCACCCATGGCCCGGCAGAACCTATGTGTGAGGCGATCATGCCGTTGCACCCACTCCTCTAATACAGGCAGAACTGCCTCTATGGTGCGACGTAAAATTTGGCTGACGGCCAGGCGTACCCTTCAGCACTCTAGGGCCTAGATCCTCAAGCCTCTACCTTTTGGTTTTCACCTCTCGTGGTGCACGTACACGTACATTTCCCCTTGGGACCTATGGTCACCTCGCAACTGGCGTCTATTCTCGGTTGTCACCAGTGGCGACACATACTTTCCCAGTAGTAGCTACAGGCTTTCTCACAACTTATGACAAATTAGAAAAATACATCCCAATTATGCCTAGTGGGGACGTACACAAATATTNAGCAAGTTGCAAATAACAAAAAAATACTGTTGTCTCTCCCATCGAGATCCAAAATGGTCTGATTCATAATACGAAAAAAGAAATGTGTCCACAATCCAAATAGACTAAGAGCTGGTGAACGCCAGACCTACGTCATTTTATAAAAGCTGAAAGTTTGTCAGCGTATGCTCCCAATATAGGATATAATGTTAGTGAATAATGTTAGTGAATTATGAAGTTTGGGTCGTGGTGGCTTTGGGAGCTACCCTAAAAAAACTGTCTGGCAAGGAGTTGGAACTGTCAAAACTGTCTGGCTGTTGGGGAAAATACTTCTAATTATTGTCCAAATATTATACATAAAAATCAGATTTAATGGTATAACGTTAGTAGAATTACAGTCTATTGAATATACAGAAAAATCCACCGTAAAAGTTACACTTACGTTAAACTGTAAAATCTGATTTTTATGTATAATATTTGGGCAATAATTAGAAGTATTTTCCCCAACAGCCAGACAGTTTTGACAGTTCCAACTCCTTGCCAGATAGTTTTTTTACGGTAGCTCCCAAAGCCACCACGACCCAAACTTCATAATTCACTAACATTATTCACTAACATTATATCCTATATTGGGAGCATACGCTGACAAACTTTCAGCTTTTATAAAATGACGTAGGTCTGGCGTTCACCAGCTCTTAGTCTATTTGGATTGTGGACACATTTCTTTTTTCGTATTATGAATCAGACCATTTTGGATCTCGATGGGAGAGACAACAGTATTTTTTTGTTATTTGCAACTTGCTGATTTGAATTAGATATTCTTGACAAAAAGGGTAAGTATTTGTATTTTAATAAAATTGTGGCATTTTACAGGATTCGATAAAAAAAGAAGACCTAAAGATAATGGAAGAGAACATTGTGAAACTAGTCCAACGTGCTACGGTGAGTTAATATTTGGATTATCTGCGCTTTATCGGATGCGTCGATTAGGGTACATACGTAATCGTGATGATGCGTCATTAAATATAATGACTAAAGTAATAGGAGATTAAATTCTTTTCTGATAATAAAGCCTATTCAAGTCCTTCTAATTTTATTTTTCAAAATTATATGTGACTTTGTTTTTGAAGTTGCTAGATTCCCACAAAGTTAGAATATAATAAAACAGCAGACATTTTAACTTATTTAAATGACTTGCTCTAACCAGAAGAGCAATAACTTCAAAGATTCGTGTAAAAAATGTTTACATATCTTAAATTGAAATGTCCTGCGTTTAAACCAAACGTATGGTCACCCGCCGAGATACTATGTTTAAAACGTCAATACTTTCATCCTCTCATAAAATATTTTAGGTCCATCACTGCAACCGGATTTGATACTCATATTCAGCTTTGCCGTAGCCTATTAATACACTTGACATCAAATAAATCGACCCTCCCGCGACGCGAACTTTAAAGATTTTCTTCTGACACAATCATGGTACCCCAACAGTATTGGTGTTATTTGAAAGCCCAATAAATATCCTTAAAGAAAAACACATTTCATTTCTTAATAAACGATTAAGAGCGTTTACGTCTAGCGTGGCATGTCAAGTTTAGGTAATTTCGATGCTATTTTTATTCACACTAAAATAATTGTGACTGTGTGCGTTTTCTCACGCTCTATAGTCAAACCAAAATACTTTGATCCACCATCGTAAAAGTGTGCCAGGCTGTCAAGTGACAGCTCAAGGAAACTATAAAATCTTCAAATCTTCCAACACAGACTCCATAATTATAAATCATGGTATACATTAGTCCTAATAAATAATTAATACATAAATTCTTTATCAAATAGTAAATTATCAAAGGTTTTTTACTATTTTGAGAATATTTTATACAGCCTATGTTTAGCAGAAAAAAATTGAATTTTAATGGTGAGAGATTTTTTCAAATCGGTTCTATTCAAAACAAAGTTTTCCTGTTAACTATTCTTTTTTTATCCGGAAAATGCATAACATTTCATACCCACCAGCTGCGGGGGCAGCTAGTGGGTTATGTGGGGTTCTTCCTACCAGAAGGTGGGTAGCCCCTACACCCACTAAAAACCTGACTGTTTCTGCCATGATCCATATGAGGAACGCGGGACATCGCCATTGGCTGTTGCCTGTAGCATTCGTCCTTAGCCGCCACCAGACACCTCCATGTCTAGCGACCGAGGCCTGTTAGGAAGGGACAGTTGGAGGCCATAAGCTGTCCTCTTGCGCTCAGGGTGTCGACGGCGGATAACCGGAGTGTCGGCTGAGGCCTCTCGCTCTCGCTTTCTACTGCTTCTTTCTGTGAAAGAACACTTTCACAGAAAGTAAGCACACTATACAATCGTTTTTTGCTTCTCCTGAAAAGTCGTACTTTGAGCCCAGAGGTATCGAAATATAGGTTATTATAATATTTTAGTTAAACTTTTTATTGTATGTTGATTTCAAATAAAAACTTTTGTTTTCTATCAACCAAATTGTCTTTATTTCTAGTTTTCACATCCTGTTTAATTATGGCTTTGGGGCATATATGTCATTTTTGGTAGTTGTCAAAAAGTATAACGGCACAATTGCATGGTTCTTCTTCTTCTTTGACTGCTATGAAGTAACTCCTGGAAACCTGAACTGGATTTTTTTATCCCTAAGTATCTATTAAGGTCTATACTAGTTGCTAAAACCATAAAATCCATGATAAAATGTAAAATGAACTCATAACTTCGTTTCAAACATTTGTAAAATCTTTGACCCTCATTTCTGTAAAATAAGAAAAATGTAGATGTGTCATTATACTGCTAGGTGAGCGATATGTTCGACTGTATGTATTTTTTTTTTCTATGTATGTTCACCGATTACTCCGTCAATTGTGGACCGATTTTCAAAATTATTTTTTTGTTCGATAGGGTACACTTCTGAGGTGGTCCCATTGTCACCAAGTTAAGATCTGATGATGGGATCCAAGGAAAATCGAGGGCAACCCTCAAATTTTATAGGCACGTATATCGTTTTTCAAACTTTTTCTTAACTTATTCAAGTATTTGCTCCTGGAAATCATCATCTCATATTGATGAGCTGATGATAGAAGGTAAAACTCCTTAATACTTAGGAATTGGAAGATAATTCTTTTAATTTGATAGATAAGTATAGTTTCTAATACAATTTGGAGTCGGTGCAGGCAAACTTTACATGTTTCATAATCTTGGCACCGACTCCAGAAGTATCAATCATGGTATACCTACATAAATATTAATTCGTCCTAATAAATAAGTAGGTAATTAGTAATTATTTTTCTACTTTTTAGTGTAGGTTTTTTGGTTCAACAGTAGGATGCTCCACGACTACAACACAGCACTGTGCCATACTCGAGCCCCATATAGGACCAACGCGCGACGCAAAAGTATAGTCAGCGACTCAGTGCGGCCGGGCCTCCGAGATTAGGCATCAACCGGCTTAGTGCGCCGGCGGTAGCCAAAAGCTGAGGGGTGAGACGATTCAAGTGGCCGTGAAATGACCACTGTCCAACTAACTAAAATCCGAAGTACCTACCGCAAAGATTTTCCGACTGTAATATGTTGTGTATGTTCCCCCTACAACTAGGTAAACTAACTATTCTGTAACCACCTATTTACGGCAAATAAATTGTTAGTATTATTCCTCTTTATAATATTAGTATACATACATAACTTGCTGTTCCAAATTTTCGTCATTCATTTTCGTTTCATCGCTAAAAATAACTTAATTTTATTTTTCATTACGTCTAAAATAGAATTTGTTGTAAAAATAGACTGTAATGAAAAATAGCAATAAAATATTTTGATTACCACGTGATCGCAAAATCTACCACCAAGATTTTGCGGATACACTATAAAAGTCCAGCTACCTGTCAAAGATCAACGTACGCGTGACACATGTCAGCAGAGCACCGAGCGACGTGACCTCACTCTGGAACGCCTCGAGGCGGACTGAATTTGAACGATTCGTGCGCGGCGATTTATAGTACTTTTCAAATACTCATAGAAAAAAAATTCCAATGAATTATTTTAAATTTCAAAGTAAATATTTTAGATAAGATATTCTTCTATAATATTAAGCTATTTTTGTGTTGAATAAAGGAAGAATATTGGTGAAAAAATCACTTTGATTTTTGGGTATTTCACGTTCTTTTAATTTGTGATTTCTTATTGTAAAATGCTTAAATCTAAAAATTTTCTCAGATAACTATTTGCCCAAGGATCTATGCTATAGGATATAAATGTTTGTTAAATCGTTTTCACAGTATTTTTATACAAATTTCAGCTTGTAAACTGACGCTAAAGTGGAAATTTACAAAACCTGTGTGGACTTATCTTGATAGAATTCTTAAATACTAAACTAATCGCAATATTTTCTCAATTAACTATTTAGACGACGAAATTGCCTAACTATTTATGCCTATAACATATTTGTAATATTACTGGTTAATGATTGTAACGAGTTGAAAAAGTACTGTTTTTGCGCCAAACGGCGTAAACGCTCTTAACATATACCATAAATGTGACTTGAAAAAAGACCTCACTTTGGGCTCACCTCTGGGATCAATTACACCAATTTTTATGGTCATAAAACCAAATAATGATCTCACGTGTCCTCTTTAACAGATGGATAGCGATTAATACCTACTTAACAGTTTTATAGCCGTAAAAGTTGGCTCAAGCGTAACTACCTATTTTTTGAAGAAGTGACTCAATCCTTCTACAGACACATTTTTGGGGTAAAAACCTTTCCTTTAATTAAATCAAAGGACAATGACCAAAAATGTATGGAGTGTGGTCCAAATGTCCACCACTAACGAGACCTATGTAGTTAAAATAGCCTACTAAATACTGATTCATTATAACCAAACCGCAATCAAAAATATGCTGTCAGTAAAAAGTTATGACTGAATGAAAAGTCTGTTTTTTACCTTTTCATCCGAAAAATGTTCTTGATTTATCATTCTATCCATTGCACATTTTGGACTAATCTACGCATGTTATGTCATTTCGCATGCGCGGTGTTATAGATGAATTTTATTAAATATTATACTAACTGTGAATACGACTTTGTACGTGTGAAAATTGTTTGAATAATATTTCCCATTTTTACAACATTTGTCTTTACTGCTCCGCCCCTATTGGTTGTAGGGTGATGTTATCTTAAAACCATCCTTGATAAATAGGCTATCCATAACAAAAAGGATTTTTCAAATCGGACCAGTAGTTCCTGAGATTAGCGCGTAAACTACTACAATTTTTAAACAGTCATAACTTTTTACTGACAGCTTATTTTTTTCGTCCCATACTGAAAGTTAATCTCTATTTAAAGGACTATAAGCCAATATAGGTCTCATTGGTGGTGGACATTTGGACCACTTTTGGTCATTGTCCTTTAGAACTAAGCTTCTAAATGGTGCCAATATTGGTTGGAAGTGGGGATGCATACGTTTGAAAGTGCTTGTCGCGCGAGGTGCGATTTATTTGCTGTCGAGTGTAGTTTTGGCTTTCTTTAATCCATAGTAAAGCTATATTTGACCATGCAAAATGGTTAGCCAAAACAACTCTCAACTTAAATTATTGATTGACTCTATAATTTACTTCCCCAGTTTTTTAGCTTTTTGTATGTTTATTTTGCATGTCTTGTTTTCTAAACATTAATAAGTTTTTTTGCTTTTACTTTGTATATCTGTTGTATTTTGCACATTTTTGCTCATCACCTATTTACTTATGTATTTACAATTATTGTCATGCAGTTTTGCAAGTTACGAGTGCGTATGACTTCTGAAGTTCATAACCGATTTAAAGAAATGTGACGACAGTAGCTTCATCAGGATGGCAGGTATTATTGCCTAATATGTAGTTATACGGGATAATGTAGTTTAGAATTCAATTTTTTTGTACGTGTCAATCGATAGCCAAGTAAATGTCTCGCGCTCTCGTCGCTTGCAATTTAAGATTAAATATAACACTGCAGCTTAACAATATTGTGGCTTTGTTACATTATGGTTTAATTTTGTTTTGTTTTATGCAGGTCACTGAAGAGATACCAATTGAGCATACAAAAGAAAAGCAGAAAAAAGAAGAAAACAGGAAAAGCAATTCTATACATAGATCAGTAAATACAGACCACTCTAATAAAAATTGCATTGCAAAAAAACTAAGTATCATTAGGAAAAAACCGTCTGATTTGAGCCCAAAAAAACCAAATAAAAATATTATTATGGGTCTACAAATAGAAAAACCTGTAAAGCCTTATAAGAAAATAGGACGGTCATATGCGGTCAATTTGTGTTTGTGTGGTTCACAGAAAGACAAAAAAAGTTTGAAACAGAATACACTAGACATTGAAAATAGAAAAAACTTAAAAATAGTTCTACCTAAAGATACGCTCAGTACAAAACGGACTAAACCAATAGCTTCCCATGAGCCACCAGTTGATATAAATATAGGAAAAAAGATTAAGGCCCATCCTCTTTGTCAAAGTAACGCCGTATGTTTTCATAAACCACCGTCCAACACTTCTATAGACAAACTACTTGAAACTTTGGCTAGATGGAAATGTGACTTATCTAATATTGATAGTAAATGTAACCGTGGAACAAAAAGGATGGTTAATGTAAATCCTAATATTGACACTATAGAAGATGAAAATAAAGACTTAAAGCCTGACGTGAAAAAAGAAAAAGAAACAGAAAAGAAATTAACTAAAAATGTTTCTACCAAATGTTCCAAAAAGGAAACAGATGTTCAATTCCAGACAAAAAATATATCTGCTAATGTTTCAAGAGACATTGAATTTCAAAGCAGCATGCCCGTAAACACAGAATCTGAATACATGGGTGCTGTAAATCTAGATAAAAGTAATGAACTCGTATGTAGGTGTTTTGATGGCGTCGGAAGTAACCAAGAACAAAGTAAGGATCAACAGTCTACAATTTTAAAGTGCATCGATTCTAGGAAATGTTGTTGTCGAAAATCTGACCTGAAAAATACACAAAATTTTGATATTACACCTACTGTATTAGAACAAAACAAAAGTGAAATAACACCTGAAGTGAAAAAAAATTCAGAAGTTGAAATTCCAAAGGAAAGCAAATTAGAGTCGGACATCAATCATATTGTAAAAACGTCCTCATTATTTCCAAGTGACTGTGAATACTGTATTAAATTTTTAGGTGTAACGTTGACAAATGCAACTCCTAATAAAGTTGTAGCCGAAAAAGATATTTGTCCAAACAAAGATCATTCATTACCTCAAAAAAAATGTCCCAAACGACGGAACAACCAACCCGAAGTATGGTTCAATAATTTAGATATGAACACTAATAAGAGTACACCCCCTGCTATACAACCTACATGTTCCAGTAGTGTCAAAGATGATGAATTTAAGAACTTATCAGGAGATGTTGGTACAAAACAGCATGGTGATTATTGCAAGAACAAAGACAAATCTCTCGATACGCAAAGTTTAAAAGACACCACTGAGAAAGATAGTTGTGTATGTTGCAATGTAGCTAAAATAGACGAATCAAAAGAATTAGAACTTAATGCTTTCCATTTGTTAGAAACACATTTACGAGAAAAGTTAGAAGAATTTAAATTATCTAATTGTAAATCTTGTTGCATTCCACCTAAGGAGGAAGAAAAACTATTTTCGGCAATATTACAAAGAGTCAAGCAAATAATTACTGATAGTACTAGTGTCATAGCTTGCAAATGTGCTCCTAAAATTCCAGCTGAGGGAAGCTGGCATAGAGCTTACATGTTATTGCAAGAATACTTAAAAATTAAGATCAAAAGAGTTCAGTGCTTATGCCTGTCAACAGAAGATGACAAACAGGCTGTGTTACCTAATGTGATGGAAAAAGTATGTACGTTAATAGATAACGACTTTCAAAGATTGAAAGCGATATGCAAGTGTAGAATTAAAACAGATGGTTTAGATCAAAGTCCTAATACTGAGTGTCCAGAAAAAGAGAACTGTCGGACTCTTGAAGATCAAATCGATACAGCAGCTGACTTACAAAACACTGAAAAAATTAATAAAGAAGTATCTAATAGATCACTAATTTTAACTCAAAATATATCTTCGCAATCACCTAAGATAGAAATGGAAACTAAATCATGTGATATTATAGAAATGTTCAATGAAAACAATGGACCCCATAAAACAAACACATGTTGTGGAGTGACGAAGTTCAATAACTGCTTTTGCGTAGAATCTTCAAGAGTAGGTAAATCGTACGTTGAATTTGGAACCCAAGAAGTTTTGGTGAATCAGTGTATTAATGTTCTACAAGAAGTCAAAGAAGTTTCTCTCCCAACTGATTTGAAAACAGTCCAATATTCAGATCAAGAAAAACGACTTGTTATTAGTAATAATGAGCTACATTCGGTACTTTCTCCTGAACTCGATAAGAAACCAGACGTTCGGAAATCTACTCCTTATATCGGTTATACTGTAGATTGTTCTTGTAACGGTGTATTAGGAACCTGTACTTGTACGAAGTCTATTATTTCTGGAAAAAATGATAACATTAACAGTATTTGGAACACCTTAACAAGCAATAAACTGCGTTATAGTGATATTTCTTACATAATGGACGCTGTGCCAAATAAAGGTTTAAACGAAGTTAATGACCTCAAAAATACGCATCATCCAATTATACCACAGCCGATAACTAAGTTAACGTGTGATACAAAAGTAAGTGCCCAAGATTGCGAAGGAGTGATTTTAAAAGATTCAAAAATGAAATTGAATAAAACTTTTCTCTCAACTACTACTTCAGGTACAGATGTCAGTTTTGGCCAAGATTTAAACTCTGAGGAACCCATAGATTGGTGCGACTGTAGTAGCAGTATGAAACCAAAAACGCAAAAAATAAATAATATTAGTGATAATACAGGGGTCGATTCTTTATATTATCCCCTTCGTAATGTAATGAATCAAGATAAAAATGAGAGTCTCGTGAAATCTGATCCAGTTGGATCTTTGTCATCGAATTGTGATTGCAATATGGTGCCTATGTGTCATGTAAAAATGCTGGTAGAAAATATTGAGAATAAGTTGATGCATTCCAAGTGCACGTGCGATTCATTGTGTTCAAAAATTTGTCCCGTGCACTCTAAGAAACTTTAGAACTATATTAATTTGTAGTAAATTGTGTAAAGTAGAACGCTTCAATATTTTGTATTTTAGAACTAAAATCAGTGGTGATAGAAGAAACCTAATTTACATAATGTTTCAAATTATTTAATATTAAGCAACTGTTTACCTGTTCTGTTCCGTTTATTTATTTTAATATAATTTTTAAAAAGTATTCATGTATTTTATTACATTTATGTAACCATCGTAAAATTAAATATACCCGTATCAAAACGCCTTGAAAGTAGAAAAAAAAACAGAACATATTGGCCATTTAAGAAGTAGGTAGTTAAAACTTTTATGCATGCCGCGACGTCACGTCGCGAGTCGAGGGTTGAGAGCGTTTAAATATCACTTCTATCTAACTCAGAAATTTCTATCTAACGAAACTTACTAATGAATTGGGTTATCCTTTGAGAAATTCCACGCTCAACATCTAAATTATTAAAAAAACACAAAGAGAGTCCTTTTTTTGATTAGCGCGTAAAATATCTTTATTACAACATGCTACTCGCATGAAGATACTAAAGAATTTTATGTTTTACTACAAAATTTGACTATTGTCTACAGATTTTAGTAAAAGAAACTTTAACTTAACATGTTATGTTATCCCAGGCATGAAAATGTAAAATATGCGTCATTTATTTTGGAGGACTTTTTTACTAGATTTTACCGAGACGATGTGGATTACTATATTTTACGGTGGCATGATGTTTATAGGGGTAATATATTTTTTGGATTTTTTGTAAGATATAGTGTCTTGTTATAAAAAAAATATAAACATAGTGCCTAGTACATTTTTTGGATATTTCATGAAAGATTTCCAATTATCACCATAATTGAGTCAGAAAATAAAATGATTAGACACATTTTAGTTTATCAAAAATATAATTAAGCTTATCGATCGAATTTTGTGGTTATCTAGAAATAAGTGTTCATCGTCCAACCAGTGATATTTGTGTCGTTCAAGAGACCAGTCCAATTAACAGTTGTTTTAATACTATTCATGTATAGAAGTGCTACATTGTTAAATAGATATTAAATATTTATAATAATGGGTAAGACTACAGAGCAAATGTTTCATAAAGAAAGAGACAAACCGAATATTTTCTCAAAGATATTTTTTTGGTGGGTGTGCCCTGTGATTTGGAATGGCAACAAAAGAGACGTTGAAGAAAGTGACCTGGTGGTGCCGAGCAAAGTGTACAATTCCAAGAAACAAGGAGAGAAGTTTGAAAGGTATGTTAACATTGCTTCCTTATAAAAAACATTATTGGTACGAGCGGGCACGTAGATATCAAATGTTTACTTTGAATTGGCAGTGTTTGATTGAAATAATATTTGTTATTTGTCGCTTATCTACAAAAATAAACTTAAGAAACTTTCCTAAGAACAGGTAAAAAACAAGCTGAAAGTAATGAGTAAAAATTTGACCGACTTAATAATAAATACGAATTATTGTGCTACACGGAAATAAACAACTATAGTGGTAGAAATACTAAATGGCTAAGTTTTTTTGTACTCATTAAATTATTACTAAATAAAAAGCTTGTAAAAACATAGCAACCGAATTGAGAACCTCCTCCTTTTGTTGAAGTTGGTTATTAAAATGGTGATAGTGTAAACTGGAGTGATAGTAGGGGAAAGTAGTACGAGTTGATCCCCTGGGGTAAGATGATCCTTTGCGATTGTGCTGAAACCACTTACGTCATTTAGTTTCTTTCACTGGTAAAACATAGCTCTGGACACCTCCCCGCCTCAGTCAAATCATAATGGTGGCGTGAGCGATACATCGAATTTGACGAGAAAAAAGAAAAATTGTGTACCTCTGATCTAAAATAGGCATGACTTTGAGCTTATGTTACTTTTATTCAAACAATGTTAAATGTAATTACTGTTGTCTTTAGGCTTTCTATTATGTTTCATTTTAATATTTTGGCCATAAAAACATGGCCGCGTACTTGTAGATTATTGTAGCAAATATTTAACAAAAAGTGGGACTTGGGTCAAGATGATCCCTTCCTATATGTACGAGATGATCCCTGGGAATTAAAACAAAAAAGTCAATGGAGTAGGTAAAGGGAAGTGAAATAAAAGAAAGAGAACTTCATATAACTCACCTGAGTCTGAAGAAGATGATACTGAGTGGCTGTACTGAACAGAAAAGTTTTCAAGCGATACCAAGGGTGAAGGATGGATAAAATGTTATGCATGTGGAAAATGGGGCCATAAAGCATGTGCTGGGGTAGAGGGTGATGAAGCAGGTGAATTTATTTGTGATATATGCAGCACAGCTCCAGCCAAAAAGCGTTTAAATTATTTAAACGCTTTTGAGCAGGTACTAAGAAAGAATAGGTTATTTTCGTTATTTAATTCGCAAATGTTTTTCTTTTCTAACTTTTTAACGATTTGTTTGTATAATTAGGTACTCCGAAAGGAATACAACCAGAAAAGAATAGATCATAGAATAGAATCATAGGGATCATCTTACCCCTACCTGGGGGATCATCTTACCCACAGGGGTGTACAAGATGATCACTTTGTAAGGTTTTGCAAAAAGTGAAATATTTTAATGAAACCTCAATTAATTTCTGGTTTTGAGTGTAAGGAAAGTTGGATAGATAAATATACTAGTAGTAATCGTCTTTATTTTTGGTTTACCTTGAAAAATATGTATTTTACAGCGATTCCCGCTTAAGGGGATCATCTCGTACTACTTTCCGATTTTGTTTCAGTTATAAGAAAGTTACATTACTGCATTTCAGGTACTCCTGTAGTTATAAAGAAGAATCCGTCATGATATGATGGAAATCTTACGAATGAAATCCGAGAAATAATTGAATTATACTTAGTAAAACAAATGAACATCGGAAAAACAAAAAAAAGAGTAAAAATTAACTCGGGCTCAAATGCTAGAGCTTACAAACATGGCTCTTGCGGGGCGACACACGACCTCTCATCTCCTCTCTCTCACTTGCATTTCAGTTTAATTTATGACCTTTGTGTTATTTTTAGGAATGTAGGTAACTTAATTGTTCTCGTTCTATTGCCTACAGAGCATGGCTGGATGAATTGGATCGAGCTGCCAGTAAAAACGTGAAGCCGTCGTTAGGATGGGCGCTTGTCAGAGCGTATTGGCTCGAATATATGCCGGGCGCCTTTTATGTTTTGACGATAGTTACATGCAGGTTTGATAATTTTTAATCAGTCCAATGTTTAAATAATTAATATGTAACTTTGTCATTGATATAATTGATCTTTTTATGTGTATCTATGTGCAAGCTACGAGTACATTGACTGGTTTAAGAATACAGTACTTTTTTCCATCTTTAGGATCGATTCTTCATCGAAACAAGTTATCTTTTTAATGACGTTTTTATCAAAACTAGCCTCCAAAAATTTCAGATTTTAACAAGCTTGAGCTTTCACTGTATTATATTCTATTATAATTTAAAAATACCTTCTTCCCCAGAATAATTCAGCCAATGCTCTTTGCTCAATTACTGCGGTACTGGACGGTGGATTCCGACATAGAGCGGTTTGACGCCGGCATGTATGCGCTCGGCATGCTGGGCCTCAACTTCGTGATTATGATGTGCCAGCACCACAACACACTATTTGTTATGACCTTCAGTTTAAAGGTCAAAATTGCATGCTCTGCTTTACTCTACAGAAAGGTATTGCAGACTTGTTTCATTGTTAATACAATACGATTTAACTGTAAAAATGTTTTACATTTGACTCTTATATAAGTTGGAACTTACTTTTAAATCTGGCAGGAGTGAGGATCATGAAACATTTTATGCCAGACGCGTGAATAATCAAGCAAAAAACGTGACCAATTACCAAAGAATAGTTTTAAAAAAGACAAAGTTTTAATTAGTTAAATAATAAAATTCTCTTTGATATTCAGTCGTGTGCCGTAAACACCGGCAAACAAACCAGCAAAACAAAGTTACGTCAAAATGAGAAAATGATGGCAAAGAAAAACATTCAAATCTATGATCTATGATCATCCAAAATACCATAAAATAAAGTTACATTTTTCAGTTGCTGCGGCTAAACCAAGTGTCCATAGGAGACGTGGCTGGCGGCAAGCTCGTGAATCTTTTGTCGAACGACATAACGCGGTTCGACTACGCGTTTATGTTCATGCACTACCTATGGGTGATACCGATCCAGACTGCAGTGGTGTCATACTTTTTATACACAGTAGGTGGATATGCACCTTTCGTTGGACTTTTTGGAGTGATCATATTGATAACGCCAATACAGGGTGAGTTTAACTTTTGTTTTTAAGTATTTATTTTACCATTGTCTTTGTGGATGTCATAGTCAGCTAGTAAATAAGAAGCGATAAATGTCCTATGTGTTCTAATATTAACCATTAAGACGTGTAGAGGTTAGAGTTATCTCCAGTGTGAATACGTGCTTACCTACTCGTATAAGATATAAGTAAAGTAGGTATGCATTTAATACCTATTTGGTATAACGTTTTATTATTTTTTTTACCTCAAAAATATTTAGTTATCCCTGCCTGAAAATTGGTAATATGATCTTATTTGCAAACGGCAATAATCTGATATATGATAAGATGCTGAAATAATCCCAGATTTAGTTTTTTCATTGTAGTGACTGGCCGCATTTTTTTTTAATTTTGGTTAAAGTAATATTTCGGTCATAATAATAAAAAGTTGATAAAACAAAATATATTTCGCAGCCGGCTTGACAAAATTAACGGCAGTCATAAGGCGCACGGTGGCGACACGAACAGACAAACGAATTAAACTAATGAACGAAATCATTAATGGAATTCAGGTTAGTATCAAATAGTTTTGTTTATTTGTGATTGAGTGGTTGTAATGTTTCTCATAAAAATAACTAAAATCTTAGCTTTAAATAGGTATGTAGATAAATACGTTTCAGTTCAACTTATAACTTATATATGAATTTCGCTCAATCTCTGGACTCTAAACTAGACTATTTTACATTTTCCAACGTCGTGTTTTAATTATGGCAAAATGATTGTATGACTTTTGCTTGTTAACTGAAAATGATTTGTCATCGCATGATTATCATCAATTACAATTATCATAAAAATACTGTGTTGATTAACGCCTGAAATTCCGCGCGAAATAAAATCGTTACTTCCGCACTTACTTATTAAGATTTTATGAAACATTTGCGATGATCACTAAGTTAATTTACATAATGTAATAAATAGATTTCAAATAATGCAAAATGGTGTGTGAAAAGTGTAACCTGAAAACGTGAAATTGAATACATATTCGTGTAATTACATAACATTTCACGTTACATTGTATTTTTGTGTTAGTTTATCTATTTTGAATTAGCACTATGTAACGAATTATTTTTTGCACAATTGCGTCCATTGCAATTTCATCTCACTTATGAATTACGTCGGCGTTTTCTAAAATCGTCACGCAGATTGAGGTTATTTGGTGTTTAACGAGATTTTTGAGGCGTAGTTTATTTTGCAGGTCATTAAAATGTACGCTTGGGAGAAACCCTTTCAATTAGTAGTGAGCGCAACGCGAGCCTACGAAATGCAGGCTCTCCGGAAGTCTATCTTTATACGGAGCGTGATTCTTGGCTTCATGCTATTTACGGAGCGCGCCATTTTATTCTTCACGATGCTAACCCTAGTTCTTTCTGGGACAATGGTTGCCGCCACCACGGTAAAGATTAAAATGTTATTAAAGCTTCGATTTAGAGAGAAAGGGAACACTTTATTAATGACTTTTGAATTCAAAAGTAATAAAATCTATCCTGAAAAAAAAATGTGTTTACTCGTATTATCCATTTTCTTTAATATTATTTTCCAATTTCCATCATACTGTATGTATAGTATACAAAGTCAACAACGCATCAATCTAAGGAACACAAAATGACCAATTTCCTTAATGGATTTAGAACCAATTCATTAGTTTATGGTTAAAAATAAACTGAGGATTATTATGTAAAGTTTTTCATATGCCACGTATTTTTCAGATTTACCCAATCCAGCAGTTCTTGGGCTCAGTCCAAATTAATTTAACCATGATATTGCCGTTAGCGATCGCTTCACTGTCAGAACTTAAGGTTACCCTCGAGCGTATGCAGAGCTTCTTAACGATGGGTAAGTATAACGTAATCATAAAAAACGTAATAGATAAAGTGTCTAACTAAAATAAGGATAAACGCAAACTCAGGTTATATTAAGCAAATAAAGTTAGTAAGCCGTTGATATACTACATTATGATTATGATTAAATTGATAATAATCTGCACGCAGAAATATAAGTAGATAATATTAATATCAATTGGACGCTATGTCCTGGGCATTAAGACCCTACTTGCTTAGTGCTGCTTTCCTGTTATGCTCTACATTGATTACACTCAGCCTAAATTGAATTATTGTAAAAATGAATACAGTATTGAGTACATTAGGCTGAGTTGCACCACCTTATGTTTACCGGTGTTTTTTTGTATGGTGTTTGACATACTTTCGACTTTTGTTAAAGTTAAAGTAAGATGGTGCAGCCCAGCCTTATTCTATGTTTTTATTGACAGATGAACGGGAAGATGTAGCTTTAATAAAAAATGGTGCAAACGGTGCAAATGGTTTCCATAGAGACATATTTGCCTCAAAGACAAAATCAGGAAACCAGACGCCGCAAATTACTAAATATTCTGAAATTGGTAATCAAACACCAAACAAAACCCGTAAGTAATTGCTTTTGAAGGCTTACCCTTACATATATTATTTTGTTACCTTTTCATTGTGACTAATGAATATTTATAAACATAAACACACGGAGTACGGAAAATGTTGTCAAAATCTTAATCAATAAACTCTGATCACTACTTAAAACTCGATATAATTCGAAATCATTTGTGTAAAACATTTATAAAACATTCTATTTTTGTATAAAACAGCAATCCAATCGAATAAGTCGACCGATTTCGCAATCGAGTTGTCTGGGGTGACTGCGTCGTGGACAAACGGCACTCCGAGCGACGCAACTCTAAAGAACCTGTCTCTGCGCATACGGCGCGGCAAGCTGTGCGCGGTCATCGGACCCGTAGGCTCTGGGAAGGTATGGACGATCTATACCCATTTAGTTATACAAAGTAACTACCAATTAACTAAGTAGAATAGTTAGCAGGTGATTTTTTTGGGAACTGTGAAAATTGTGCGCATTATTTAATGTAACGAATTTTGATGTAGAGGTAGATAGGACTTAGGTCGAGATTGTAGGCTACTTTTGGTCATAAAGATGAATGTTTAAAAAGCTGAACTTGTATGGGGGACCGATAATTTCGGTGTATAAATGGAGTGTTTTGATCGAAACCGCGAGCGCGATAACTTTCTGCGACAGACTGGAATTCAAAGTCGCGGGCAAAAGCTAGAATAAAATCATTATCTTTACTTTCTACAACATTGTTATCTAGTGGGTAAACGTGAGCAGGAGCACCCATCAATTATATTCATAATTCAATAAAATAAATACAGATCAAATTAATGCTTATTTACACAGATAGTAATTATTATAATCAAAATAATCAATTTATTACAATCGATTTATTTTCCTGATATACCGAAGGACGCTGCGAGTTATTTTGCCGTATCAAATGCCGTATAATTAAGCCGTGTGGCGATGGCAGAGTAGAATACATTTGTCACCAACCCCTACTCTTCCCGCGGGTGTCGTAAGAGGCGACTTAGGGACTACAGATCAAACAGATAACGGGCAGCAACGCTCTCTGAAAAACATCAATCTTTTAAACTGCGGTCTCCAACCCGCCTGTCAAGCGTGGGGATTATGGCAAAACCCTCCACTATAGTGGAGGAGGCTCGTAGTCCGGCAGTGGACTGTAAAGGGCTGTTGATGATGATTATGAAATGTAATTTATTTCAGACGTCTCTACTGCAGCTGCTCCTAAAGGAGTTGCCAGCGAAGACTGGTTCTCTCAACGTACACGGATCCATGTCCTACTCCTGCCAGGAATCTTGGCTTTTCCCGGCCACTGTGCGGGAGAACATACTCTTTGGGATGCCGTATGACTCTGAAAAGTATAAAAAGGTATATATAAATTCCTATTCACAATGTATTTAATAGATTTGTGTATTTGTGAATGTCACATTTATTAACTCTCATGACATCTTTGTCACAAAAAAGTATGCCCTTGATTCAATCAACACAGTAGATAGGAAAATGACAAATGATTATCAGATACATACATTTAGTACGAGTATACAATGATCATAATTGCAGAGTCCAACTTTAAAATTCTTTAATTATAATATTTTATTATTGTATGTTTCGCTGATTAAGTAGCTATATTGATAATATGTATGATCGTTATTATCAGCCACGTATCTATGCGTTACCATCAGTCACGATGTTATTCAAAATACTCATGATGATTTAACAGGTGTGCGAAGCGTGTTGTCTAGCACCAGACTTCAAGCAATTCCCGTACGGGGATCTGTCTTTGGTTGGAGAGCGAGGAGTCTCCTTATCCGGCGGTCAACGTGCCAGGATCAACTTAGCCAGGGCTGTGTACAGAGATGTGAGTTAAGCCAACTTATTATCATTAATCTTACTAATGTTACAACCATCTTATATGTACGAGTATGTAGCTAGGGACTGGAATTCGCGGCCTGCTGCTGTCTTTCCTGAACACTATAATCCGGGCCTTTTCAAGGCGAGAGTGAATAGTCACTTACAGGGTAGATATGTACCATCCTAGAAGACTGCATCTCACCAGGTGCGATTGCGATCAAATACCTGCCTTTCATGCATAAAAACCCCTACAGTGACCCTTTTGCCATACACAGCGGAGCAATGTCCTTGCTGCTTACTATCTACGCAAAAAAGCAGCAAATTATATACACATCGCGATAGGGCAAATCTTCGGACTATCGGATGTGTGTGCCCTAGGATTGTAAAATAAGTTACATTCAACAGGCTGATATCTATCTTTTGGACGACCCACTGTCGGCGGTGGACGCTAATGTCGGCCGTTTGTTGTTCGACAACTGCATCCGAGGGCTGCTGCGCGAGCGCACGTGCCTGCTCGTCACGCACCAGGTGCACTACCTCAGGGACGCCGACCAGATCATCGTGTTGAACGAGGTAGACTCTCTTTAGCTTGGTACGAGTAGTTCCCAAATCATTTCGACCTTTTAGCTTGGTTGCTTAAGGTTCAAGATCAATTATTTTTATCCAAAACACAAATTCCTCCCTAATAGCTCCCTATGAAAGTGTAGAGCTATCATAATATGTATAATACGTACGCATTACCTTCTAGCGGAATCTTCATTGTATTTATACGTTTGATTTTTCAGGGTTCTGTAGAAAATATGGGCACTTACGATGAACTAGTTAAATCGGCCACAGATTTCTCATTGCTATTGACAGAGATGAAAGACGATGACGACGATGCCGCTGATCCAGTAAGTACAAATATTTATCAGTGCATTTCAGTTATGAAAATAGCTTGATGAAAACACCCTGGACCTTAAAAATTACTTAATTTTATCTTTGAACTTTTAGCAAGGAAAGAAACGTCCATCAATGAAACGAGGAATATCCGTCAAAAGTATGACCGATGATTCTGAATATGAAAAGGAACAAGTCTTAGGAGCGGAAGAACGAGCGAAGGGTAACCTGGAGTGGTCAGTCGTATGGGCGTATCTGCGCTCCGTGCAATCCTGGACGATACTACTGCTTGCGCTCCTGACTCTGACCGTCACGCAGGCTGCGGCTACATTTACGGACTATTGGCTCAGCATGTGGCAAGTTTTTAATCTTCTTCAAGTTTTACACTTTTAAAAATAACCAAAGCTACGACCATAAAAGTTCTTCAATTTGTCTTTATTGATTTTCTGTACAGGACTAATGCTGTAGAGGACTACGTTCAAGATCTTCCTGAAGATCAAGAGCCTGGTAAGATTTAAAACAGAACTCCTTTACATGGTTTCATTGATTGATATCATTAGAATCGACGAGTCATCATCCCAACTAATATTATAAATGCGAAAGTAACTCTGTCTGTCTGTCTGTCTGTCTGTCTGTCTGTCTGTCTGTTACGCTTTCCCGCTTAAACCTCGCAACCGATTTTGATGAAATTTGGCATAGAGATAGTTTGAGTCCCGGGAAAGAACATAGGATAGTTTTTATCCCGGTTTTTGAAACAGGGACGCGCGCGATAAAGTTTTTGTGTGACAGACAAAATTCCACGCGGGCGAAGCCGCGGGCGGAAAGCTAGTTAACTATAAAAACGTTTGAGTCTGGTTCATGCTGACTTTGCAGTTTAAGATTAGATAATCTTTCTTAATTTCACTTTCAGATCCTGGTTTGAACACCGACTTAACTTTGTTGACCAACGGCCAGTACCTATGGGTGTACGGTGGTGGCGTGCTGACCGTGATTCTGTTCTCTCAGTTGAGGATCATAACTTTTGTCGTGTCGTGCATGCGTGCCTCGCAGAATATCCACGACATGGTCTTCAAAAACCTCATCATGGCTGTTAAAAGATTCTTTGACACTAATCCCTCGGGTATGATTCAAACTCAACCATCTGTGAAAGAAAATCTTATTTTTTTTATCTTTCCTTATTTTTTATGTTAATTTAAAAATACGATGGAATTTTTGCAGGTCGAGTTCTCAATAGGTTCTCGAAGGATCTGGGTGCAGTGGATGAACTATTACCTAGAAGTATGCTGGAAACACTTCAAATGTACTTGTCTATGGCAAGCGTGCTGGTGATAAACGCGATGGCTCTGCCCTGGACGCTCATCCCTACTTTTGTGTTGGTGCTGATATTCGTATTCTTGCTGAAGTTCTACCTGAACGCAGCACAGGCTGTGAGGCGATTGGAGGGTACCAGTAAGTACTAATTCTTACAAACTTAACGTTTTAACTGTGCTACTATTTTAGGCACATAGCTCGAAGAGCTGATGGCCGCTGGGGCAGGAAAGTTCTTGAGTGGCGACCACGAGCTGGAAGACGTAGCGTGGGCAGGCCTCCCACTAGGTGGACCGACGATCTGGTGAAGGTCGCGGGAAGTACCTGGATGCAAGCGGCGCAGGACCGGTCTTTGTGGAAATCCTTGGGGGAGGCCTTTGTCCAGCAGTGGACGTCTTTCGGCTGAAACGAACGAACGAACGAACTATTTTATAAATGCCAATTAATAATTAATACAAGTTGTCTTACGTTTTATTTGTTGTATTCAACAGCAAAGAGTCCTGTGTTCAGCATGATCAACTCTACCATATCAGGATTGTCAACCATAAGATGCTCTAACTCTCAGGATAGACTTCAGAAGCAATTTGATGTAGCACAGGTAAATATTTCTGTATTTAAGGTTTTAAACTCTACAATGTTATGGCATTCTGATGTCTGGAATGGTTCTTTTTTCAGAATCTCCACTCAAGCGCATTTTACACGTTCCTGGGAGGATCATCAGCGTTTGGCCTGTACATAGACGCTCTATGCCTTGTCTATCTTGGATTAGTGATGGCTATCTTCATTCTCATTGATTTTGGTAAATACTCCTAATACGAGTATACTTTGTTCATATTATAGTTCATACAGTTTTGTATCACTCAGTGAACTTTTTTCATAATTTCTATATTAGGTATGACAATGTATGCTAAACTAAAGATAATCTGATTTAATAACGAATGATAACATAGATAAAATAATGTCTATTGAGGTCAACTGTACATTTGAAAATAATGTGGTACTTACTTAGCAACCGGGGGTTAATCTTTGTATCGGTATGGCACTCACAAATAGTTTCCTAATGATAACGATGATGAGTTGAATGAAATTTCAATCCCTGGCTGTTGTTGATGACTGCGATTGAAATTTCTCATTATAAATCATAAGGGGCTCCTTACAGTCCACTGCTGGACTATGAGCCTCCACTTTAGTGAAAGGTTTCGCCATAATCTCCACGCTTGGCAGGCGGGATGGAGATCACAGTTTCATATTTATCAGAGAGCGCTCTGCTGCCCGTTCTCTGTTTAATGTGTAGTCCCTAAGTCGACTCTTAAGTCTTACGACACATGACATCTTGACATCTCATCATGACATGACAAATTTACTCTAACTACTCTGCCGTCACCACACGGAGTTAAACCCAGTATTGGCCTTAGATTGATTATTTATCATAGTATTTGTTGTGGTGCAGGGGACATAATCCCTGTGGGTACTGTGGGTCTGGCCGTGAGCCAGACGATGGTGCTGACGATGCTGCTGCAGATGGCGGCCCGGTTTACCGCCGACTTCCTCGCGCAAATGACGTCTTTAGAGAGGACCCTCGAATACACCAACCTGCCTAAGGAAAAGTACATGGATGACGGACGTAAGTAACGTTACTCCTTGACGATAGTGTTAATGTGTTTGTTTTTGTTATTTACCATTGTTGGATGCCTTTGTGACCCAGATATTTTGACCCTTTAGTTATAGTTTATAAGTTTTTAAATAGAAAAAGATAGAAACATACAAAAATAGGACACAATTTAGGCGGTCTTATCATTAAATATTACCTATTATAATTTTCTCCAGTTTGGTTTGACGTTTCACGAATCAATCTTAAAATGTTTCTGAGAAGACCTTTGCTTGTGTATACTAGAACTGTGATACTGCAGTAGCTTTACCCCATATAAATAACTATCTATCTTACATTAAAGTTGTAATATTTTGAATATAATTTCAGCGACAGCCCCACCACAAACCTGGCCTACCAGTGGTAGCGTGGTATTTGAGAACGTAAACATGAAGTACGGTCCTGACGATCCTTATGTTCTCAAGAATTTGAATGTTCAGATCAAGGATGGGTGGAAAGTAAGTCCTTGAAATTCTTAAATGCATATACCTATGTATGTTATGATTATTATTATTTATTTATGCTTGTCTTAATCTTATGCAGGTTGGAGTAGTCGGAAGAACCGGAGCAGGAAAATCTTCATTAATATCAGCTCTATTCAGGTTATGCGATATCGAAGGAAGTATTAAAATTGATGGCGTCGATACGCAAGGCATTGCCAAGAAGGTAATTAAACAATAAAGTAACTAGAACATTCCAAAAAGTACCGTAACTTGTGACACTCTTTATGTGACTCTTTGTAAGTTAATTTAAAATCATCTTTATTCCGTAGGATTTAAGGTCGAAGATATCAATAATACCTCAAGAGCCGGTATTGTTTTCGGCAACAGTACGGTACAACTTGGATCCATTCGACAACTACAGTGACGATGATCTTTGGCGAGCTTTGGAACAGGTAAAACTTAAGTTAAACCTTCGTGTAGCCCAAAACTAAACTAACTTAAAAATACTAAGGCTGAGTTTTTTTTGACGTTTGATATATAGTCTATCCAATATAGCTTGATTAGAATGACAGCTGCCATCAAAAGTAACGACATAACTTTGTAGTAGCGATCAATGAGAGCTAAATATTGGCGGAGAAGAAATAATTCACGTCTGACCTACAAACAATATTTTCGACGACAGTGCTTCCAATAAAAATGTTAATTTCGTGTAAATGCAGCGTTAAATTACACCAATAAGTAGTAATTCGAAATTATAAAAATCAAGCTAGAGTATTAACGACGTCTCTACAAGGTTATCTCGAGTTACAAAAATGTTAGTGTTGGGACATATCGACAAATGTCATATTAAATTAAAACTATTTTTTTAACATATTTAACAAATTTCTTTTTTCTAACTAATTTTTTAACATATTTAAGTCAAGTTATACGTTTTTCTAAATGTTCACTATTAAAAACCAAAAAACATTTCATTCTTAAATAATCAAACATCGGAAATCAATCACCGGTAATTTTTTGGGTATTCATAGCATTTAGAAAATTCCGTTGCTCTAGAAGAGATGCCCACCGCCCTCTAGCGAGAGGAAAAAACCACTGAAGAACACTGATGATAATGACTACGACTTAGGTTATACACCCTTGACATGAATTTTAAATTTTACTGTCTTTAAATTTAAATCATAATTGTCATTTTTATGAATAAAGATATGAAGAAAAATTGGGTGCATTTTTTTATATCATTTTTTCGAAAACTTTTCGATACATCTATGTGAACCGTACGAAACATACCCAGCACTAGTCACATTCGTTTGACAGCCGTCATTCTAATCAAGCTATATTGGATAGACTTATAGTTAAAGTATTTTTCTTTAACTTTGACAAACGTCAAAAATCTGTCAAACTCCATACAAGAAACATCGGTTATCGTCATAGTTACTGTTAAGTTAAGCGGTGCAACTCAGCTTTAGTGAATTAGGTTATTTCTTGTCGAAATATAAGTATATCCAGTAAACTCGTGTGCTACATATAAAACGTCATTAAAATTATATTAGTAGTAATGCATTAAATCGTTATAAAATACTTAATGTCATGGTTAATCCATTATCACCAGCTAGTTGTAAAACAAACTAAACGAAGGCTGATTGACAAGTTTCCTAAACGACACCCTTAGAGCCGTTTTTCCAATCGCTAGACAAAAATAAAATAAATAGTTAATCCCATACAACAAATGCAACAAAATAAAGCTAGTCAAAACATGAAAAAAATATTAAATAATTAAGTATTTCAAAAGTAGTTACCTACTTTTTGCGATATCCCGTCGGCAGTATATCTCAGTTCACGCCATTTATAGTCGGTTGGTATTCCTAAATTTACTGCAGTTCTCTTACTTTACTTTATATCTGCACTCTAAAACTCATTTATCCCAACGGTTTCGCGCTCTACGACCGACGTGACCAACACAGCTATTTCAGGGTGGTTATTCTAAAAATTATATCGGTTACTTTAGTTTTCACTCTCGCAAATTCACACTGTAAAAGAAAATCACTGAGAAATCCAAGAGATTTTCATTTTAAAATAGAACAACAGACCAAGGCCAATGACCTCCCTATGATAATATCGATTGGTAATATCGTACCATACTATAATAGAGCGAGTTTGTCCAGAAGTTTCTTATTCACTCTTGGAGCTTTTGTACTTACTAAATTTTAAAGATCTAGACTCTAGCTAGAGTATTGGAGCCCTAACATAGGTATGTATCATTCGGTGTGCTACAAACTACAATTGACACGAAATACTTAATGTTCATTAGGTAGAGCTGAAAGACGCTATCCCAGCATTGGACTACAAAGTGTCCGAGGGTGGGACAAACTTCTCGATGGGACAGCGACAGCTGGTGTGTCTCGCGCGCGCCGTGTTGCGCTCCAACAAAGTGCTGGTCATGGACGAAGCTACAGCCAATGTGGACCCGCAGTAAGTTGCCATCTTTATTCATTTCTAGTTATGGGTATTTATATTGTACGAATTTGTACAGTTTTTCGGGTTAATATCTTAAATAATCATCTTTAGTAGAGTCACAGCTATTTTATCAGACTGCCGAAATTACCGGTAGTTATAATAAGTGGAAAGCAACGTGAATTTGTGTTCCACTGTACCTCTGACTCATGGTAAAAAAGAGGTGGTTACTTCCGTAATCTGTAAATGGCTTTTCTCTTAAAAAATCGGGTACAAGGATGTTACAGTTACACAAAAGATAGCATAATATTTCATGTCGAGGCTATCTCGGACGTCGGTGTTCATTTGATATCGGAAAACTTTAATCGCACCGACACATTCACTAGAGTCAAGCAAAGTGACTCCCCGTATAGTCGGCCCATCTAGTTTGAATGGTGCAATACAAAGCTGTATGCCAATATAATATCAAACCAGCCCAAGCAGTATCGTGGGCATCGTGGCTGAACGAACGTCCGGTAAATATGTCGTTGCCGACAACTTTATCGGGTCTCTCTAGTCTAAATAAACAGTGTTGAAATACACGTGCAAATATGCATCCGACTCATTTATCGGCCCGGTGAAACAGGACAGTCGGTCTGAACTCTTAATTTCAATAACCACATTATTTTCAATGCACTGCTCTCTCCCCTCTCCATAAATTGCGGTAAAGCAGGCAGACGTAACCAGAATATAGAGCAAATCCAATAATAACGATTGACCTCGTCCGAATTATTTATTTGCAGTGTAATTGCGGTTTTTAATAACCGCAAAAATGCCATACTCCAGTTTATTTTCGTACGCGTTGTTGTAAAAACAAAAATCGCTTTAATTTTGGTCGCGGCGGCGGCATGTCGAATATTCCCCGGCCGGCGATAAAAATTAATGGCGCAGTAGGCCCGCGAGAACATTGCGCGCGATAAAACTGGATGCAACATGTCCACAGACGTGTTTTCTAATTTATTCTGAAGAACATATTGAATCCATACTGCCTAATTACTTTTTAGTACATAGTGAAAAGTTGATTTGAGAATTAAACTGTAACGAACAAAGTCCTGGGCCGGTCCTGGTTCATTCCCGAGTAGGTCGCATAAAGTTGTTATTGCACTTTGTGCAGTAAGTAGTTCCCTGTTTGGTTACGACATTGACTAAGGTTGGATTGCACCATCTTACTTTAACTTTCACAAACGTCAAAATTCTGTCAAACTCCATACAAAAAGCACCGGTTATTGTTATAGTTACCGTTAAAGTTAGGTGGTGCAACTCAGTCTATGAATAGTAACAAATAAGAAAAATAGACTGGAAGACATATCAGACTTTGTTCTCTCTGATATAGGGGTTTTGCAGAAATAGATGATTAATGCTTATCTCACATCACTTAACTTTCTTCCACAGAACGGACGCCTTGATTCAAAAAACCATCAGACAGCAGTTCACGGATTGCACGGTGATCACTATCGCTCATCGGCTTGTCACCATCATGGATTCAGATCGAGTGCTAGTCATGGACAAGGGTCAAGCGGTCGAGTTTGACTACCCCTACGTCCTACTCTCCAACCCTGACAGCCATCTCAACTTCCTCGTCAGGGAAACCTCCGACAACATGAGCAAAGTGCTGTTCGAAATGGCAAAAACCAAATACTTCAGTTCCAACCCGGAGAAATAAATTGCGGGCCTATCCACAATTATATTTTTCTATTGACGTTTTGCTGATGTTTCCACCAAAGATTATTTCAGAGAATTCTGTGGAAAACTGCAGTACCTTTATCAAAAGATATTAGAAAAAGCAATATGATTTGAGATAATATTCTTTAAACTCTGTAAATAATTATATTATTATGTAGGACGTAGGTAGTTGTTACGTACAAACAAATTAATTTTATGTACAGTTATTTTAAACCGGACTGTTAAAAAAAACAGGCAGCTGCTGCAGTGTGCACGACAAATTACAAAAATATGTTGCCAATATTCGCGGGGTGAACCAAATGTTTGTTCATTTTGTTCAGTACCGAAAATATTGTTCGGGACGCTCCCTGCAGTAAACAAAATAGTTTTGTTTTAATATTTGGAATTGACGACCAGTCGTCGTTATAATGACGAAATGAATGAATTTTCTTTGAATTGCTGACTCTTGTCGGCGAAGAATGCAAGAAACAAAAATATTGATGACTAGCGGCCGCCCGCGACTTCGTACGCGTGGATCCTGTTTTATCCCCTTCATCTATCTTACGCGGTTTAGATTTTTTCATACAAATGTTTTTTCCCGCTATCTCCCGTTCCCGTGGGAATTTCGCAATATCCTGTTGTAACTAAGCTTTAAGTTTACTAAGGTACCTACATGCCAAATTTCAAGCGTATTACTTAAGCGGTTTAGATTTTTCATATAAAAGGATTTTCCCGCTAATTCCTATTCCCGTGGGAATTCCTAAGTATACTATAACCTGCCCAGGAGTATGAAGAATAATTGTACCAAGTTTCGTTAAAATCCGTCGAGTAGTTTTTGTTTCTATAAGGAACATACAGACGGACAGACAGACAGACAGACAGACAAAAATTTTACTGATTGCATTTTTGGCATTAGTATCGATCACTTATCACCCCCTGATAGTTATTTTGAAAATATATTTCGTGTACAGAATTGACCTCTCTACAGATTTATTATAAGTATAGAAGATTTAGTTAATAGGACATTACGAGGAAAAGCAGGCCCTCTTACTCATTGCATTATACGCCTGAGTATTGCTTTTAACCGACTTCCAAAAAGGAGGAGGTTCTCAATACCGTCGCGTCGGTATTTTTTAATGGACTAATTACATTTGTCTCGAAAACCAATGATAAAAATGACTTTATAATAATGTTTAGCATAATTAAGCAACATTGCAAACCAGTTTTGAAATGTAATCAAAACTAAAGAGCATCAATTCAAATAAAATAAAATACTTATGTTTAAATCAATCTAGTTTATAAGAATACGGATCACTTATCGGAAAAATAGACCGCCTGTCTTGGTATTTAACCGAGTTCAACTATCCATATCAAAACTGTGATTGTGTTTTATAATTAAGATGTAAGTTCAAATAATAAATTGATTTAAATAGAAACTTTGTTTTATTAACATACATATATGACACTTTTCGCATTTGGGGAACAAACAATAAATAAGACAAGTAGATTCAGGGCTTTCTTTAAGGTTTTCTAAAATTTTAAATAACTTTATCATCTTCCGTGTCAGCTGATACCGAAGCGGGGTATGTGTAACAACATAACATGTCGGCCGTTTGGTGTAGTGGTTCAGAACGGACTACTATGCCGAGAGGTCCCGGGTTCGATTCCCGGCCGGGCAGAAATTGAAATGATGAATTTTAATTTCTGTGACGGGTCTGGGTGTTGCTATGTATAATATGTATGTATTTAAAAAAAAAGTATATAAGTAGTATATCCGTTAAGCTAGCACCCATAACACAAGCATATAAATTGCTTACTTTGGGGCTAGACGGCGCTGTGTGAGATTGTCCAAAGATATTTATTTTATTATTTATACAACTTTTGATATTCCACTATGTTGCCTTTAATTGCTGCCATCACTGGGACAAATCAACTTACTAGACCTCTCTAGACCTATGACTAGACTAGGTAGAGCGCAGGGCTATAAAATTCATTGGCGACAGAAAGGTAGTGGTTAGGGTAGTGGATTGTAAAACTGGTAAAACTTCGTATTAGCATCACGCTGAACAACCGTATCTTTTGGTATTAGTCTCTACGTCAGCGTGTGCTCTCTCTAGGTCTAGGAGTAGGTATAGGAGCTCTATCAAAAACTGAGGTATAGACTCTTGATACACACGAAATCTCGTCATTGTTCCTTATAATACTTCATATTACACCTAGGTCAATTAAGTTATGTAAGAATGAATATTTATCTTATCTGTTTCTAGGATTAGGTGTGTACTTATATGGTAATGGTAAAAACCTGTATATTTGTTCGCGTTTATATCGCGTTTTGCTGAACAGATTTCGATGCGGTTTTTATTGAATCTTTAGTTTCTCTTTTTTGTAAATATAAAATCAACCTGTAACTTGTCTATGCTGAGATTGAAAGTCATAGATAAGAATATATTATGACCCTATGTCAAAGTCAACAATGAATGAAATCTGAAGTCACCAAAACATCAAATATCACAGAAAAAGAAATCTAAACCAACCAAAATGATTTTGATCTAATAACACACAAGCTTTGTCACTTCAAAGTTGCAAAATTTTAAAACAGTCAGTCGGTAGAATGTAGGTATTTGAAATTTCCAAGCAAACAGATCATTAGATCCAAAAATGGGTTGTTGTGACGGCCCCGAGCCCTGCTGCAATGCGTCAATCTTCAGCAACCCACACGTGCTTTATATCAGCGCGATGTTGATGATGATTATTCTCTATCTCTCTTGGACTCTGTACAGATGCCAGCAGTGCAATCGATAAGCAACTGTGAGTACTTGCTTAACATCAAGCAAAGCATCTTGGAAAATATGGGTGAATGCTGCCAAAACTGCACCGATGACACCTGGATGGTATACTACTATGAGCATAAAGCCAAAGGATTCGTATTGGGACTGATCTTAATAGCATGTTTTCTCGCCTACCGTGTTTTTCGATGCCGCCATCCTCGGCGGAGACTAATTTGCTGGGGACCAATCGTCATTTAAACTACATTTTTTAAGGATAAATCCTCGACATTTCGGTAAGGCAGTTAAATTATAAAATTAAGTTTGTTTATTTTATATTATATTTTTATTATTGTATATAAGGTGTATTTACAATGCTCTACTATTCAAATCCTTATAGCTAAATGAAATACAATAAAAATAAAAGGACACATCTGTGATTTCTGGCATTATATTATACAACTACGCATAATTAAAGCTTATAATTAATCATAAATGCGATTTGTGCTATTATAGCTAATGTACCTACTTACAAATAATTTAGAAACTCTACTTATGACTCAGTGATTCTAAACTATATAAAACATAATCATAAACAAGAAAAATACTTTAATATCTAATACATTTTAGTGATAGGCCGTTTCATACGCAATATTTCGAGCACTATTCATAGTGCATGAACTGAGAAAAACAACCCACAAGTTATATTTCCTAACTCTTAGATTCAATGTTGCTAAAATTATGAACCTATTTAGCTATGGACTGTTCATCTGGCGTTTTCTTTCAGATTGCTTTGGAAATAGGCGTCCTTTGCTACTTGGAAAAGTAGGGCCGCGTTCTTCTCTCCAGTCTCCTTGACCATGGAGCTGAAGTGGCTGTTAGGGTCACTGAGGAGGATGTAGGGATGCTCGAACTCGAGGACGCGGCCGAAGCTCATGACCAGAACGCGGTCCGACTCCATGATGGTGTTGAGACGATGAGCAATGGTGAGCACCGTGCACGAGGCGAAATGCTCCTTGATAGTTTGCTGGATATAGTTGTCCGTCCTGGAAGAAAATATTGATATGAATTAGCACACCATAAAATAAATAATACCGTAGCAAATAATGTAGAATCGATGCGTGATAGTTTTCTGTTTTTTTTTTTCAGAATAGAAACATTAATTTGATTGCTTTATGTAATTTATTTCTCGATGCTATCAATCATTTTACCATTACAATTTACATAGGCTTTATTAGCCTTCAAAACGATAACTATGAAGTCACTTGTTTGTCAACTCGATTAAGTAATTATTGTTTTGAAAGCAACTGAAAATATCATTTTGTAGATCATTGGAATCTATCTTCAGGAACAAAATTGTTTTTAGAAAATTGTGCCTTAGTTTTATTGTTTAATGGTGACACCATTACTCAATTAATAAGTTTAATAACACAGGCCTGCAAAATGAGGGTCATAACTTCCTCTCTAGAATTTGATAGCTGATTCTAAGGTATTTTGGTGCGCTGATTACGAATATGTACTTAGTTTTTCTCCATCACCTCCAGATTTTTCAAAAAAAGGTACAGATAGAAAATAGGAAAAATTCAGAAGTTTTCACATAAAAAAATATATATTTAAAGAAGTACATTACTTTTAACTTAAAAAACTACTAAAATATAATGATAACTATTTACTAGTCTAAATTACATGTAAATTTTATTTGTGAAACCTGGTCCTTTTTTTTCCTGGAAGCTTCGGTTGTTCGATTTTCGCTTAAATTTCCGGTTTGGATAGTCGTGCTTCAATAACCAACAATAGTCCGTTATCATGCTAGTATTACATCTTCCTTGATACCGGACTTCAAGCTCTTTCAAATCTTGGTGAAATCTTTCGCCTTGTTCTTCACTAACGGCTCCTAGATTTTCTGGGAAGTAATCAATGGGCGAATTAAGGAAATTAAGTTTAATGCTCATGTTACAACCCATTACACCAAAACTTGCAATCATTTTGGCCACTATTTTTTTATAGTCGGAGCATAGACATATCCATAGCATAGGCGAAACGATTTTGAAGCAATTTTTCTATCCTTTTGACCACTTGCAAAGTTCTAATAAACAAGCCTTGCAAATTTTATGAGGAGTCCAAGTTTTGTCTTGGTTACTTAAAACGTATCCAAAATAACTTTAGTAAATATTTTTCACAAAATCTGTAATGCTGTTTCATTGTTTTATAACCATAAATTTCCCGCAAATATTACAAAAACTGATCGGAGAATTTAAACAACTTTGCGATGACATTTTAAAGTTTATGTTGCAAGATCCGCAGTTCAATAACATAATTTGCTAAATCACTTATACAAAAACCCTTTGGTTTGTCTTTATTACACCCTTTTCTAATAATATTTACAATAATTAGGTAATATTACCTATTCATTATGTATGAATGAGCTCATTATGAAATTAAGCCAAAATATCCCTTTTTCGACATGTTTAATGCGAATTACATATACTCATTAGGTACTAATTAACAAATTACTGATTTGCATTAATTTCTATGTCCCCTTACATTAATTAAATGGAATAAAAATTAAGCTGAAGTAATTTAATGACGTTTTATAAATTTTAAAATGTAGGCGCTCAGACATTTTTGAGCAAAATCTTAAATATTCAATATTAAAAATTCCTGACGTGATGGATTTTTTTTATTATTTTTCTCGTAATCAGCACATCAGAAACTATAGAAAACGTTGCTCAGATTTCAAAGGGGAAAACCATTGCAGACCTGTGTAATGTTTCAGGTGTAACAACGTGACGTAATACTCACTGTGGGTCAACATTAGCGGTGGCTTCGTCCATAATCAATATTTTGTTGGACCTGAGCACAGCCCGAGCCAAGCACATGAGCTGTCGCTGCCCAACGGAGAAGTTCGATCCACCTTCCGTCACTTTGAAGTCCAATGATGGCACAGCAGATTTCATGTCCACCTAAAAGTAAAACGTTAAAAATTGTTAAATCAAAATAAAACAAACATTTACATACGAGCGTTTTATTAAGAACTTACCTGCTCAAGTGCCTGCCAAAGCTGAGCGTCACTATAGAGGTTGAACGGATCTAAGTTGTATCTAATCGTTGCTGAGAACAAAACTGGCTCTTGTGGGATAATTGAGATTTTAGAACGCAGCTCCTGTAAAATGTTGTAATGTAATGTTATAATTCTCATTATAAACGATCATCATTGTTTCATTTGCCTTATTTCATTCATTTACAATCTTTTACCTGCTTGGCGACTAGAGAAGTGTCCACACCGTCGATAGTTACTTTTCCATCGAGGTACGCAAATCTGAACAGAGCTGAAATTAAAGACGATTTCCCAGCGCCTGTTCTACCAACGATGCCCACCTGGAAACAAAACAAAAATCTTTTATACCCCGTTGATACAAAACAAAAATCTTATGTCAGTGTTTGTAACAAGACTCCTCCGCAACGGCGTGACCGATCGTTATGAAATGTTGTGTGTATATTCAGAGGTTTTATTATACCCCGAGGTTGAAAACAATGCTTGCTGGGGTCAGCTAGTAGTTAAAAAAAACGTTTCGCTTCTTTCTTACCTTCCACCCACTTTCGACGGTTATGTTCAAATCCTTGAGGACAGGTTCCTCGGTAGGCGAGTACCGCATATTGACGTTGTCAAAAACGATCCTTCCCTCCGAGGGCCACGTTGGAATCGACTCGATCTCTGCAAAACAGGGTAAATTAGTTTCCCGTTTAATAGCTTCGGCACGTGCTTTATCTATATCGAACTGTCTGTAGGCTGAGCAAAGATGAAGAGCATCATTTTTTAAAAGGGATGGCAGAGCGACTGCTAAATGGTATTCCAACTTGTTTGGCGACTAACACACTTTAAAACTATGGAAACATTAACATAAAAATATTTTAATAGTGTTATGTGATATTGTTACCGGTAAGTTAAGGGAGTAGTCACACATTTTTTTTATATTAAATGATTTCTCTCTCTCTCTCTCTCTCTCTCTCTACATAATGTAAAAAATCCCACGAAATTGTCACTCTTTCTTTTTGTTAAGACAGTTTTTATATATTTTATTACCACTTCTCCGAGTATTACAGCAAAATTAATAATAAAAACCACATATCAGAGGGAAAAAGGTGCACTAGATTTAGTGGAAAGTGCCATTGGACCCCCAACAAAATGATTCATATTTTAACCAAACCCGCGAACTGCGCGCTAGTCACGTCCTTCAAAGAGGTTGCTCTCCCGCAACAAAATGGTTAATATTGTACTTAAACCCTTGGGAACTACTCACGTCCTTCAAACAGGTTGCTCTCGGTCTCGATGCGCGTGTAATCGAGCACTCGCTCGACACTGGTGAGCTGAGCTATGAACTCCACCAACATCCTGGCACCGTGCTGCAGCATGGCCGTTAACGCGTTGGTCTGTGTCACCGCTATGCCCACGCTGCCCACGGCGATTAGGTCTCCTGCAAGGTTACGTCATATTCAACCATTGTGACATTATTTTAAACCTTATGCCATGACTAAATGTCTATGAAACTACTAATCTTTCATATTCTTCTTCAAGGTACCTACGTCAAATAGCATAGAGCCATAGTTTGTACAGACGATGGCCCGTTATGGTAAATTATACTTGTGTATTTTCATTATCTATTCGTAAAGATGCGAGATAGGTAGGTATTTGTATAGGATTTTGGCGAGAAAGTAAAAACAAACTTACCAAAATCAATATAGATAAATATGAAAATGACTGTAGTGAGGTAGATAAGACAAACGGTGTCGAGGTAAAGGCCAAAAGAACTGCCTCCGCAAAGATACCCGTTCCACGAGGCTGTATGCAAATCCTGTAACAAACATTAATCGTTAATAGTTTCTTATGGTATCTACATATGCTCGTAACTTGTATCCACAAGCTGGCGGACCAATTCTATTAATTGTCATCGTCATGTTAACAAACAATTAAAAGCATTGGTATATTAATGTACCTGGTGATTATCAAAGTCATCGATAAGCCTTTTCTCAGCACCAGCCGATCTGATAGTAGCTATTCCATTGAGTGAAGATGTCACCATACCGAATACAGGACTTTTTGCTGTAAAAAATAAAACATTAATAAAAAATATGGATCTAATTGGGTTTATATTCATATACTTACTTAATATGAAATATAACTTACTTATTCCCTCCAATCTCTTAATACTTTGAGCAGTCTTCATGTAAATTCTGACCATGAACATAAAGCAAATGAGCAGAACAAACGACGGTATCAGCGTCCAGTACAGAGCAATGGCGTTCAGTATCAGGATGACTAACAGGGTACTGTAGATTTGGACCACGTCCAGTAATGTTCGAGGTAGAATTTCATCCAGCGCTCCCATGTCTTTTGTAAATCTGTTGAGAATTCGACCTGAAAATAAGGATAAAGTTTTCATAGAAAAATCTTCTAACATCAGTCAGGCAATTTGGAAAAAAGTGCTATTCGATTATCAAAGCAATCCACCAAGTACCTAAATGCCGAATTGGTACTTGGTGGATTGCCGTGCAGAACTGCAGACTAACCAAGATTTCAAAATCATCTCTAAAATTATAAACATAGCTGTTATATTAAATTTAAATTACCTGAAGAGCTGGTATCGAAGAATCTCATGATTCCCTTTATCATTGTAGAGAACATAAAGTCGTGGAGATTCTTCGAGGCGTTGACAATGAGAGCGACGAACGGGAAAATTCTCAGATGCGTCAGCAGAACAAGGGTGATGACCAGGCAGCCGTGGATGATCAGGTACTGCCCGGTGGTGAACAGACCCACTTGCACGTCAAGTCCAGACTCTGTTGGGACAATTTATTCCATCATGTTCAAAAATTACAATAACCTCCTTATCATGAACGTAGGGCTATTAAAAATTAAGGTAAAATAATCAAGTAAATAGATGAGAAAGATTTTGATACCTGGTACGCCACCTTCCAATGATTCTTCGTAACGAGCCATGTTGTTGGACCTGAAAATCAATCACTTATCATTTTTCGTTTAAAGTTTCAGCAGTGCCGGATTAGCCACGTAGCAAGAGTAGCAAATGCTACGGGCCCCGCGAATTTGGGGGCCCCGCGCTCCAACGCCTGTCTGACCGAAATAAAAAAAGATTAATTTAGATAGGAGCGTAAAATATCTTGTATGCCTTAAACGCGCTTAGGCTATGCTTTACTTTCACTTGAAAATCTAAAACTCGATTTCATCACGTTAAATCATAAAAATAAGTAGGTAGCTATTTTACGAACTTTTTAACGTGAATGTTGTAATGTTTAATTATAATCGATATATTTAGACTAGCATCTATACCACATTTCTACCCTTCAAGCGGCCAGCCCGAGCTGATGCTACGAAGGCACTTTTATGTGGTTTCGTCACTATTAAGCAAGTTTTGGAAGACATTTTCAGTAACGTGGATAAAAAACCGGAGTGCTGTTTAAATAGCTTACGGACTAGTTTCAACGATGAATAAGTTATAAACGGGAATAATGACAATTACATGGAATCCGGAATCCTAGAATGCATGCAAGCGACTAGTGCTTCGCTGCAATCGTCTGATCAAGACCTTAATACGGGATACACTCTTTATGAATCATCTACGTCCAAAAAATGCGATCCACATTTCAGATATTCAGGCAAGAGCCAAAGATCTGACCAATTGTGAAGAATACCAGCAACAGACATCAAGACGAATCAAGCGAAATACAAAGTACGACCATTTCAGCGGCTCTACTACACTCGACGACTTTGTTAAAAATCAAACACCTGGACAACGTTTCGAAGTTCAGGTGTTTATTGTCATTATTGATAACGTACTGTCTGCTTTAACTAAACGTATGAAAGCATATCATAAGATTACTAGTATTTTTGAAGTATTTCGACAATTAAAATCTCTTACACCAGAAGAGATTTTGGAAAAATCCTTAAGTATGGTCAGTGCTTACGAAGATGATTTGGAGAACAGCCTAGGTGGCGAATTAGTGCAGTTTGCAGAGCTGCTGAAAACAGATGTGGCTACTGTTATTGACAGCAAAAAACCGGAGCCTCTGGAGCAGCAATTTTATAAACTTTTAATAAATAATTCTTTAGAATCGTGTTTTCAAAACTTAGAAATTGCCTTGCGCATTTACATGCCTCTCATGATCACTAACTGCAGTGGCGAACGTTCTTTTTCAACATTAAAACGTATTAAAAATGAATTAAGGAACACGATGGGACAAGAACGTCTTAATCATCTTACTTTATTGAATATAGAGCATGATTTGCTTAAAGAAGTTGATATTGAAAGTGTTATCTCTAAATTTGCTCACATTAAATCAAGAAAAGTTCATTTGTAACAGTTTTGTTTCATTTAATACCCTAAACTTGAGAACCTAAAGCAAACCAAGGGCCCCTTGATAGAAATTTGCTACAGGTCCCGCGCTAGCTTAATCCGGCACTGAGTTTCAGTTTCCTATCTAGTAGTATTAGTATGTATAGCAAGATATCCTTCACTCAGCTGCACATTAGAATAAAGAAAGGAAAAGTTAATTTGTTCATACTCGTACAAAGGAATTGAGAGCACAGTAGAGACGCGGATATAGTCTAGATCTTTCATTTTGTCATTACAGAGCTCACCGAAACCAGCATCTGACGCCGACCTTTATGTGAAATATTCACAAAATATTTTTTTTTTGCTTACCAGAAACTGATCCAATAGTCGGTAGCTCCAGCTGCAACCGCCGCCAGCAGGATCATGGTCACCGTGAAAGCAATGAAACAGATATTGCCTCCGGAACTGAAGTACGCTGACACTACGGACCACTTTAAGTTGCCCGACTGCCTTTCCTCGGCCTCCTGAGTTTGAGCCTTAAACTCTTCAATATCATCGTTTTCGTTTGTCGACGCAGACGATATCATCCTCTTGAAATCGCGCTTCTCTTTGTCTTCAATGCTCTGTATTGAAATTCGGAAGAAATTAATACATGAAAGGAAATAAGAGGCGAACGTCATAGTTTTTACCACCTGTAAATTATTTATTTATTTATTAGGTACACCAACAAAGTCACATACATATAGTTTATACATTTTAACATGATGCGTATATGACCTCAATTACAGGTATACACAGCATTTCTTTTTGCAATGTTAGGGTACATAATAAAGGTTAATATATAGAATAGCAATTTGACTCGTATCAAGGAATACTAGCTAATAAAAATGTTGACTTATTGACGTCACTAATTAAGTGTTAACCAAATTCATACAACGAGAAAAAAACAGTACCATTCCTATAGAATACTTTACAAAACACTGATAATGTGTTTTATAGCTTCACTTACCCAAAATTGCCTAAGTAATTAAACAGTGCTCGTTTATTGAGCATTTAATTTATATTGTTATTTTAACGACGAGTGCATTAAACACATGCTATCACACTAAAAGTCACGTATTTTCATCAATAGACATCATCGAATCGTTTTACACTAAAATACCTTACTTATTCGGTCCGTAGCCATGTTTGGCTCGAGGCCAAGCTTAGCAGTTGTTCAGAGCACTTAACAGATTATCAGGTCATTTCTATTTCATTCCGAGGTTTTTAGTGTTTGATCATTGCAATTAAGTAATTATCTGAGAGCTGAGTACTTTGCCCTCTTCGGGGAAAAGAATTAAATAAATTATTTACAGTTATAAACTCACGTAAAGTTGCTACTTCGTACAAAATGAAATCAATAAACATTTTAGTTTAATAACCGTAATAGGACCTCGACTGCGGTTGCTGGAAGTTATTACATTAGGTTTATTGAACGCAAGACGGTGCCAATAATGCCGACGCAGTAAGTTTTGGCTCCAGCAAGGGTTAAAACATCCAGATTAGTTTCAATAAATGCTCAGCGCCTGAAAGCCGACCTCGTTTCAAACCTATTGAGGTCGAGTTGAGAGCGCGGATCCACGTCTCTAGAGTTAGATCTTTCATCCTGCTTTTTGCAAAATGTTTAAGTTAATTTCGACTTGCATATTACTGTCACAAAAATTATAATAAGTTAATTGCAAGGCCAGCAGATAACAGTCTATGAGCATGTTAATTCTTTTTAACGATGCACGTTTTGCACATTATACAAAATACTTCTAAGTAAAATCTATTCAGAATAAACATACTAGTATTTATGGTAGCATACTCGTACGTTGGTTATATTATCGCAATAAGGATGTTTCCTGGGTCAAAAAGCAAGTGTTTTAATTAGTCCGTCAGTTAACTTATCAAAAAATACTCTACACGTATTTTTCACTTTTTCAAACTAATGAAAATTTAAAGAGATAAAGCGCGCCAAAGTTCATAAGAAGAGGCACGTGACGTCAATGAGTGCATAAAAGTGCCGCACTTTGTGACGTCGCGCGGAACTTCAACGCACCATAACTAAGTAATTATTTGTTAGATTGACAAATAAAAATATAAGTGTCCAATATTTTTTGATATTAAACCTGACGGACTAAACAATTTTTTTTTAGGAAACTAGCCTATTGACTATTTAGTTGTTGACACATATCAAAATCAATTCTTAGAAAACAGCAGTACCTATCCACTTGAAAAAAGGTAAGCTGTTAGCGTTATAGTTATGCATTTTTTAAATCGTTCGTCTTAGGAGTAGGACATCACAGGACATAATGACGGTTAATCTGTACTTACGACACCTGATCCAACACTGTCCGCGTCCTTATCTTTCCCTTCTTGTAAAGAGGCGAGCAGCGTCGCGAACTCCTTGCCACTCTCAACCAGCTCGTCGAAAGTGCCCATGTTTTCCACTTGGCCCTGTGTTGAACAAATATTTTAGAATCCCAAAGGTCATTGCCGTTCATTGTTGGTCTGAAAGAGTATTATAGCGTGGACGGAAGGATGATAATTTGCAATGTATTTTGTTTTAATATCAGCTTATTTCCATATACTTTGCGGCATTAGTTCCTTAAAATTCCATTTAAAAATTTATTCCAAATAGGACACAATTGTATTCTCATTTACCTATGTATCTTTGACATTTTCATTTACCTACTTGCTCTAAAAAGTACCTATGAGATGTCTCTACCTAAACATAATTTAAAAGATAGTGAACTTGTTTACGTCTCGGCACCTAAAATACCTACGGTTAATAACACAAAACTATATAAACGATTAAGGATAAAATTATCAAAAACGCCAATGGTATTGTTTCGCTATTTACCTCATTCAACACCACGATATAGTCGGCAGCCTTGAGGAAGTGTATCTGGTGGGTGACGAGGATGCGCGTGCGTCCGCGGAGGTAGCCGTTGATGCAGCCCTCGAACAGCAGGCGACCGACGTTCGCGTCCACCGCCGACAGCGGGTCGTCCAATAGGTAGATGTCAGACTGCAGGATAAAATAAATTTAACTCTCCCAATGACAAATAACTTTAAAAATCCAGGATGTGGTCATTTATTTAACGTACTGACTATTGTGTCTGAAATTCATATTTCGGCTGTAACCTGTTTTGTACGTTTTAGGAAAATGTGAATTGTGACGTCACGCCATATAAGTACCTAGTGAAAATAACTCAGCAATAGTGCGAAAATAAATTGACGCATTTTTGAAAATTATAAATAACTTGAAAAAATCGAACTGCCTAAGGCGGGAATTGAACCCACGACCTTCCGCTTGCCGGGCGACTGCTCTTCCAACTGAGCTACTTAGACACTGGATGAACCTGTCGAAATTTTCAAGTGTAATACGCTGTTACAGCCAGCGTTTGTTTCATCAATGTTGAGTATACCTACCCTACATCTAACAGAAATATCTACATCTGTTAGATGTAGGGTAGGTATACTCAACATTGATGAAACAAACGCTGGCTGTAACAGCGTATTACACTTGAAAATTTCGACAGGTTCATCCAGTGTCTAAGTAGCTCAGTTGGAAGAGCAGTCGCCCGGCAAGCGGAAGGTCGTGGGTTCAATTCCCGCCTTAGGCAGTTCGATTTTTTCAAGTTATTTATAATTTTCAAATTAGTTTGAGATGCGACTCTTAACGCTAAAAATTAAATAACTATGTAAATTGACGCAATTTATTAGATTTATCTTACAAAAATACTTGATACCGATCAATTTATTTGCTTAGCTTACATTAATCTTATCAGATCTTGCTGAGTATTTATTAATCAAAATATGTGTAACAATGCCTGTGTAAGGGTTTAATCTAACCCTGACTCTATGAGATAATAATTTATATGAAATTGCATCGTCATCCTGCTTATAAAATATACCGTAACGCAGGATTATCTATCCTATGCAAAATCTATTTATTTTGCATAGGTATACATACGAGTAAACCATAGAAGTAGGTAGGAAAGCATTAAAACATTTAAACTTTATAATAAAATATCCTCCTGAATTTTCAGTTCGTTCCATTTATCACGTTTTATCTTGTTTCTTGGTGCCTACTTTCTTATCTTTGATATGCTAATGAAATGGAAAGACGTTTTCCTAAATTTTTAAAAACTTAAATCACAACTGAAATTAAAGACATTGTTACAAAAGCACCATGAATTTTAGTTATTGACATTGGTCAATTTAGAATGATAAATATTCCCATAATTTCCAATAAAAAATCAACTGCCTTGGGTCTTAAACCCGCGGCCTTTTATTACTTATACTCGTATCTGCGTTAAATGAGGCTATAATATGTTCCTGTCTTCGTGCCGTGTAAAAACCAATGTGTAAAAACTAGATAAAATATACATAAAATTTATTATATTACGGCGAAACCAAATGAAAATTTTGTAATTTTACATTCTTAGAATAAATTGCAAAAATTGATTTCTGACATTCGGACGAAGGAAAACAACGTGGACTTCGACTATGTTATTGAGTTATGAACCGACTGTTTGTGCAACAAATAACAAATAAGAAACCAATTACCTACCTCTCTATAGACGGAGCGGGCCAAATTGATTCTGGCGCGCTGCCCCCCCGAGAGGGACACCCCCCTCTCCCCTACCAGGGTCTGGTCGCCGTAGGGAAACTGTTTGAAATCCTTCTCTAGGCAGCACGCCCTGCACACCTGAACCAAAAACAATACCGTATAATAATGTTTTCCTATCGTCGTCCTTGGATCAGTTTTCTCATTGCAACTTCTGCATTATTCAGGTGCCTCGAACGATTTTTATCTTGCGGACGTGCTCTGTGGAAATTCTCCGTATTTTGTTTTCTTATCAAAATTGTTAATGAAGAATCGTGATTATTTGGACTTCCTTAATACCTGTTCATACTATAGATAAGGTAAGGTTTTTCATTTAGTACCTTACTCGTATTAAACTGAAATACGTTGCCAAAATCACTTTTTTTGGCACGATTGTATAGGGAAATACTGCTACGTAATTCTTTAATTGCAATTACATGTTTATTGATAAGCATGATATAATCGCGATAATTTGGTGGCATTAGGTATATTATAGTCAATAAAAAAGACGAAGACAACATTTTATCAAAACAGCAACAACGCACAGCACGACAGCCCTTTGCTAATCACGTGTTTGTTAAGAAACTGAACGTACTCTTTTGTACTTCTCAGGGTCGAAAGCCAGTCCAAAGAGGATGTTCTCTCGCACAGTACTAGGGAACAGCCACGCCTCCTGCGACGCATACGACACGGTCCCATTCACTGACACCGTACCCGAGTATGGAGGCAGCTCCTTCAGCAGCATTTGAAGTATTGATGACTGAAATAATAATCATTCATGTAATGCATGTAGGGCAATCATTAACGCAATTAGGACGATGATTTATGCCCAGAGTCATGGACGTTAACGTGTGCGTGTATGATATCGTATTTTAATGTATATCTTTTCCTGTAGCTTGTTTATCCGATATCTAGTAATAGTTGATTGGAAGAATTTGAATACAGCACCTTGTAAGCGCCAGCTGATATGTTTTCGTGAAGTGGTGGTAGGGCAAGAATTATTTAAGGTGTGTATTAGTGCTCTACAAAGGGCCTAAATTTTGTAAAAAAACTTTGAATCTGAGTTTCAGTAACGTTATGCATTGCCAATAAATGCTTAATCAACAAACCTTTCCAGAACCAACGGCTCCTATAACGGCGCAGAGCTTGCCCCTGCGCAGCCTTAACGACACGTTGCTAAGCGCCGACATAGTGGGGTCGTTCGTCCAGCTGGCTGACACGTTGCGAAGTTCTACAGCGATGTCACCAGGAAGCGACACGCTTTTGCGGGGCTTCACATTCACTGGAGGCGTTTCTGAAAGAAAAACCTTTGTGAAAAATTGGTGTCATTTCCATTACTTTGTTTGGCAAATTACCACTGGAAATATACAGAAACAATCAATTAGGTATGCTGCTGAAGAATTTATTTAATTTAGCAATGTTTCAGAGAAAATAAAATTGTTGAAAAAAAAAACTGTAATACATTTATATTATCGCGTACAACATCCTACTAGATAGAGCGGTCTGATCTTAATACAAGTCGGTAAAACTTAAAAGGATTAGATCCAAAACTTTGATATGTGACTTGTTTGCATGAATAAAATATTTTGCATTTTCTTCTTCTTCTTTCGTGTCGACAACAAACCTACACAGTGTCAGCCCAAAACTCCGCCACAAGAGTGGAGTTTGTAATTTTTTTTGTATCTTTATTATTTTCAAGTTTCAAAGGTATTTTGAGATAAGACAGTGTAAAAGGGATTTAATTTCTATCTTACCAGTGATCTTAGCTTCAGACTTTCTTTGATACGAAAGGGGCCTGACATGGTCATCGCCCTTTTCTAGCGCCCCTTCAGCGGACAATTTGTTGAACAAATTTTGCATTGGCGCAGCAGATTGTGGATTTTTTGCCAAATCGGGCCGGTCCTCTGAAAAATTTCATTCTATGTAAATTACTTTTCTTAATAAAATATTTGCGAACCATTTAAATGATTGCAAATAAGACTTCAGCAGAATTGATTATTTTTTCAAAAATGCTCGATTCTCGTAGTATGGGATGTTGGAGTCTGTGAGCAATCTAGGAAAGGCATTATAATAGCTTCTCTTTTGAGACGTTCTTTCCAACAGTTTGTCATTATCATTTTTTATAGATCTAACATAATAATTTAATCTCTATAGTTATATTACATTCAAACATCACTTAATAGCGGTTTTAATCTCGTTTATCTTCATAGATAACATGATATTTTCAGTAAATTCAGATCAGATTTTAACGTTATATAAATTCACTAGCTTTCCGCCCGCGGCTTCGCCCGCGTGGAATTTTGTCTGTCACAGAAAAACTTTATCGCGCGCGTCCCTGTTTCAAAAACCGGGATAAAAACTATCCTATGTTCTTTCCCGGGACTCAAACTATCTCTATGCCAAATTTCATCAAAATCGGTTGCGAGGTTTAAGCGGGAAAGCGTAACAGACAGACAGACAGACAGACAGACAGACAGACAGACAGACAGACAGACAGACAGAGTTACTTTCGCATTTATAATATTAGTTGGGATTGGGGATAATATGGATGATGACTGGGTAATGAAATCGAAATTCTATTTAGTTCGTCACACAGATAATTAGAAAATTTCCTTTAAATTGCAATAGTTAAAGTTGTACAAATATGAATAGTTTTCGTTTCCTTGAATTTTCAAAAGTGAATTTTCTTCTGGGCCACCCTGTATTAGACTCATATTTTTTTTATTTTTTTCCATAATCGAATAATTACAGTACCTATTAGGTACCTATATTGAGTTGAAATGTCGCGTGACGTCACTTTTGAGTAAAAATTCTACTCAAGCGTGACGTATCGCGCCATTTCAACTCGATGTAGCATCTGCATCTGTCTGACGGACAAATAATTGAAGTTTTGTCATCTAGCCTATTAGGTTACTTATCTTGATAATAACATTTAATGGCATTTTAATTATTTGTGTCATAAATATGATGATTTAATATTTTGATGACAGGTGCTTTAATGCAATCAACAAGGTTATGACGATTTGAATATTAAATAAATACTCTTGTTAAGTTTGTGATTTTAAAAAAGCAACATTATTTGATTCAATTATACATTAACTGTACCTGCTTGTAGAAAATCTTGGATTCTTCCTATGGTGACGAAAAGTTCAGCTGTGAATGCGAGCACCAAGGGTAGGACTAGAGTGATATTGATTTGGGCTGCACTCATGAACTGCTGTAGAGGGTATATCTGAGGGCATAAATATTTAAATTAATAATGTTAAAAAAGGGGTTTTATTTCACATTAATTAACAAAATATAATTGAAAGAATTTCAATGAAAAAATATACAAAAAGTGGTTGAAACAAATCGATAAAAGAATAAAAGTGTGATGGCGTCAAAAACCAAAACTGTTATGAATTGGTTGCATGGCTATGCCTACACTTAGTAACGCACATGGCAAGGTTAGGGACCAATAAATAAATTGTATTATGTAGTACTAACAATGCAACAGATGTTATTAAACATATTTTACTCACAACATTAGCTGACATTGTGTTGCCGAACAAGATGAAGACGAGGATTGTGATGAAGAGGGCCGATCGCTCCGTGAACAGCATGAAGCCAAGGAAGACGATCCTCAAGTACGAAGCCACTCTGATCTCCTTCAGCTCATTGGCACGTTTCTCGCTCACCACTTTTTGGAATGGTATCTCCCAAGCGTACATTTTGATCACCTAAAACAAGTCCCATTTCAATGGTCATTTAGTAAAACCAATCGCAACAGTATTTGTTCCGAAAACGGGAAAAGTAAAAGGTATCTACTTATGACACATCCACAAGGACAAAATATTATCCTTGTGGATGTGTCCTATGTTAAGTAGGTACTTTTACATAAATTAATAAATTTAATGCAATTACCTGTATACCACTGATAACTTCACTCATAACTTTAATCCGCTCATCTGTTTTTTCAGCAGTCCGGAATCTGACTTTACCGGTTTTTTGACCAACATAACCTGTAGAATTAGATTTAATTTAATCATAAATCAATTTACCAATCGAAAAATAACAAAGTCAAGTAATATTAGATTCAGGTCTATGATTGGTCTTAGCTTAGGATTGAAATTCAACTAATCATAGTTTAAATCTGAGCTCGATTGAAACGTTAAAGTAAAGTGAAGTAAGTAAAGTAAAGATTTGAGGTTCGTTTCATTATACGGTCCTTAGTTTTTACTTATTGCTTTTGTTTTTGCCAGTTCCTTCTTTAAAATCTAGGCTCAAGTATGCGGAATCCTCACAGTACACACCTTGTATGGGCAACGCTATAATAACGAGCGATGCCAGCCCAACCAGAGCTGCATACCCGGCTTGTAGGTACCCCAGGTAGCACACCACGGCCAGCTGTATCGGGATGATCCAGATGTAATGCAGGAACAGTAGGGCCAAGTCGAACCGCTGCATGTCGTTCGAAAGTATGTTCACAACTTTACCAGCTGTCGTATCGCCCAGAGAACTGTTGTTCATTCGCATTATCTAAACAAATTAATAATGGAAGTCAAAAACGTGTTTTGAAATAGTGTGAAACCTAATAATATGACCGGCCTTCATACGTTTAAGGCTGAGTTGTACCACCTAATTTTAACCGTAACAATAACATTGACCGGTGCTTTTTGTATGAAGTTTGATACATTTTTGACGTTTGTCAAAGTTAAAGTAAGATGGTACTCAGCCTAAGTCCACATAACGCGTTTTACATAGGCAAAACGCGCGACTACATGTGGACTATACAGGGTGGAAACGATAAGTGATCTCACTCGATTATTTCTAAACTATACAACATATTGAAAAACGAATTACTGATCCTGAAAGTGCTTCACGAGCCCTTTCAAACGGTATCAGTAATAGGTTACAGATTTCACTGGATCTATCCGAAAATTCAATGTTTTCAGCCTCCATACTAAATGTATGCCAGCCACACAATATTCGAAGTATATTTTTTTTTAATTAAATAATAATTAATAAACACTTAAAATGAACTCGTAAATTGCATTCGTATTTAAAATTATTAATGGAAAACATTTGTTTTATGCTTTACTTACTACAATATTATCAAGACATGAGTGCGATGACTGTAGCAGTACTAAATGTATGGAAACTGGAAACTTTGAATTTTCGGATAGATCCAGTTTATTTGATAACTTATTATTGGTACCCTTGGATAGAGCTCGTGCAGCACTTTCAGGATCAGTAACCAGTTTTTGGATATCTTGTATAGTTTTTAATATTATGTGGTTTTACTAAATGTATGGAAGCTGGAAACATTGAATTTTCGGATAGATCCAGTTTATTTTGTAACCTATTGTTGGTACCGTTGGATAGAGCTCGTGAAGCACTTTCAGGATCAGCTGTTTTTGGATAACTTATATAGTTTAGAAATAATCGAGTGAGATCACTTATCGTTTCCACCCTGTAATATGTAGATACGAACTTCTAGAACGTGTATCTTTCAATCGTGCGATTCGAAACGAGCGAGTAAAAATGCGTCATCGACATGCTCACTTGCTCAGTACCTCTAGTAGGAAAAACTTTCGAGTTCGTTTCGTTGCGTATTCAAAGTGTCATCGAAAAATTTTGTATGAAAAATTAAACAGCGCCCCCTAGGGCGGCTATAATATAGGGGGCGCTGTTTAATTTTTCATACAAAATTTTTCGATGACACTTTGAATACGCAACGAAACGAACTCGAAAGTTTTTCCTACTAGAGGTACTGACATTTAATTGTACTTAACGTAACAAGAATTATGTAAATAATTAAATCTTTTTCATGAAATGATTCGGCGCCGTTACGCTCTTATATTCAGTGTAACCCATACAAAATTTACCTATTAAAAACACAAAAAATTGTAACTACACGATTTATGCTGCTTTATCTTATAAGAGCGAGCTTTTCCAGACAACCTTTGGCGAGGGTTGTTTGAAAGGAAAAGTTTATTCTTCTTAATAATTATTATTAATTTGACTTAACAAATGGCTGATGTAATCTACCTTTCTAAACATAAGAGAGCTAGCAGAAATTCGGAGTTTCATTCCGAATTGCTGTGCAGCCAGGTTCCCGTGGTGATTGAGTAAAGCCGACGCCCAGTTGGCCAGGATCATGCCCCCGGCGTACATCGCGGCTGTCTCCTTCGACATGGTGGAACCCACCGACCAGTACTGCAGCAGTTGGGCGAACAGCAGCGGTGTGAAGGTCCTATATTAAATAATAGATTGGTATTTATCAAAAATTCTACATGAATGAACAAACATCAGTATCTCACATTTCTCACAATTAGTTGATTCGATATAGGTAGTCCAGTTATTTGGTTCGAAATATTGTGTTTAACTGGAAAGTTTTTCGGGAGTTTTGAAAATTGGTATTTATCTGGTTTAAAAAGACCACATCGAAATCTACATAAATACTAATTTTCTGAACTCCGGTAAACTTTCCAGTTTAAAACTACTGGACTGGACTAAAATGCACGAGTAAAACGCGTCATCTGGACAGCTCATACAATAGGTGCTTATCTCTCACAGAGTGACAAATATTTCCCACATTTTCCCCTTTCTTCCTACCTTATATTTTAATGTGGTTAAAGCGTGAAAAGGTTACAGACACTTACTTTTTATATAAGTATGGATTAGTAGCTATATGTATTATCGTTGAATAATAATTGTAACGGAAAATATATTGGAAGTGTATGATTAATAAAATTGTTTATTCCGGGAAAAGATAATCTTAGTCATAGGTACATTGAAATTATGGAAAACACATTTGAATGACGTTAACTGTGTTTTACATTTAGTTACCTTCTATTATGATGAATAGAAAAAAATACATTAGTCTGTAGCTTACCTTATACCAACACATAAAAACTGCATTATCCCAGCAGATATGAAACTTAGCCCAAAAGCTTTGGCGAAAGTTTTCAGCAACGATGGCTTTTTTCCAGCGGCTTTGGCTGCAGCTTCTTCATTAAGCCAATATCTGAGGACAAATGCTCATTTAGTAATACAATCAAGTGCTAAAACATTAAATAACAGAACCTCAAACTAATTCGAACAACAAATGTACAGAGAGACAAAATGGGTTGAACGGTAAATTTTAGAAAAATATAATTTCTTGTAAAATTGTATGACGGAAATAGCATGTGTTTTCTACAGTTTACTCGTAATAGAAGAAATTTCCAAGTAATGAATAATATGCATTTCCTTAATAAAGTGAAAGAAAAGTGACGATAGCTGACGTAAAGTTTACTTCTGTAATAGTTTTTTTATCATACTCGTAGTAGAAAATGGGACACCTAGTCAAAAATATATGCATGTCTGAATTCACTGCGCATCTTAAAATGACTCACGCCTCTGTGCGCTTCGATTTCAGTTTGTCAAAGGCTATGAATCCCTGGAGGTATTTGTATCTAAAGCTATATTCAGGATTATAATGGCAAAGGAAACTGGAACAAGTGGAAAGTGCCTTTAGAAAATAAAGTAATTTTAAGGTAAATTGGGTGAAAAATGTGTAGACAGGTAGACTGCATTTTAAACAAGACAAGGATATTTTTTTTATACAAGACAAGGACTTTAATCCTTTGTCTGCTTATAATCTCAACGTATTAAATATGTGGGAAAAATCACTCATAAAGACTTGAACAAATAAGTACCTACTCATTGAAACTATCATGCTGATACTCGTTCGTAGGTACTTACCTACTATAACTTTATCTGTTTCTAAGGTCTTTACATGATACTTTTAAATCTGTTTTACTGAGTCTCTGGTGTAAATTCTAGATAAACAAAGTTATAAATGTATATGGTCGTAGTAGACCTAAAATTTTCTTGCAAGTAATTGAGATCCTATTTTAGATTAAATATCTTATCAAAAAAACTCAATAAATTAATCACATTGTTTAAAAAGGAAATTTATAGTAAAAGATTAGTACGTGCGATCGTTTTCTAGAATATTCTATACAGATACTTAAACGGATTCAGTATATTAGTCACGTAATATTAAATTACAGTCAATACACTTTTTCCGTGATAGCTAATGGCGTCAGAAATTCGCCAAAACTCTTGGTTACCTACTGAAATTTTGGCGAATTATTAAATAGGTCAAATCAGGCTTTTGCGCTTTATTATTTAGCTAGCAGTTAGTGTTCGTACGTAATAAATCATATAACGTTCGGTTGATATGATTTATTATCTCACTGTATTACGCTTTGGAACTCCAATGGAAAACTTTATGGACAAGTGAAAAGTTTGAAAATTACCCTGGCGCTCATTTAAAGACGTGTGGTTCTTACTAGGCAGTAATACAAATTGTAAAATTCCAGTAAAAAAAACTGATAGGTGTCTGCTGGTTCAGGCCTACTTTAAACAGTGTTTTATTGATGACCTTGATGCCCACATATAATTGAAGTACCTTGCTATTGTCTACCTAGTAGGTACGAGTACCTCTCAATAAAATTTATTCTTTGAACATAGAAAATGGAAGTACGAGTAATTGCATTTTATAACTGAAATAATTTAGCCTATTTTATAAATCATTTGAACGAAATTAAATTGTTGGTTTAAAAGTCATGATGTTGCCAGCAATAGTCTTTATTTAATTAAATAACGTTAATTTAGCTATCAAAATACCGACATCGTAATCAAATAATATGATAGGTATTCATATTCAATTTAAAATGAATGTACGTCATATGAGTTAAACCGATGAATCAGGTGGTATTTTAATTGATCAACTAAACCACAACAATTTAATTACCTACCAAAAATTATCCGCTAGTTATTTATACTTTGACCAACCTAAATAGACATTTCATTTTGTTCATTTATGTTACGCAATGATAATTGCAGATATCATCACTAATAATCTCGTAAATGTGTGGCGCGTAAATATCAAATAATCTCAATAAAATACCTATATTATATTTTATTGCCGATCCGATATACAGGATGTCCCAAAATTAGCACGTTACACTGACACTGGATGTAGCTGGGCCTAAGACACATCGAACAAACCTAATATTTCCATTGAAAAGTTTCATAACTTTTGAATTATTATGACTGATTAGTTATTTATAAAAATGGACTTATAAACTTTCGATACGTCTTAAGCTCATCTACCTCTGGTGTCCAGTATGACGTGCTAATTTTAGGACACCCTGTATAGTACAACAACGGTACTCTTTTCAAGATTTAAGTAAATACTTATTTACTGTTTACTGAAGGTTATCGAACGTTTAAAACTAGATTTCCACTGCAGACCGTATGTTGTGCAATTAGTATTGACTGTAATTATTACTTTGTTTGTTTTATTGAATATTCCGTTTATTTAGTTAGGAGAGTCATTTTAGTGTGTTGTAAACAACACAAATGTTATTTTAATTTAAACGAACTCTTATTTTATTTCTTTTCAGTGAAATCTAATTTGAAATATTTGATGCTTTTAAACTACGCACTAAATAATTACATAGCCTAATCTAACTCCCATCATTAATCCAGAAGATATTATAGTTTACCTTGTAACCGAATTATTTAAGTTTATGTATGTACAAAAATGTTTATGTGTAAGTACCTACCTAAAATTATTATTTTAAAAATTACCTGAGTGACTAATTATTGTTTAAAGTTTATTGCTAAATGAAACATAGCATGGCGCAACACTATTTAAAAAAATACATACCTCTTTGTACCACTATACACTGGAACCATACACTAGTTTTCGTATGCACTATCTCAATAATCCTGAAAAATTGAAAACACTGACCTTTCTAACACATCCCCAACACGTTTCGAGTCGTATTGTCGTTTCGCTGGCACTAAATCGTACTCTTCTAAGTCCCTTTTCGTCCCATTGTAGTATATGGGGATCATCCAACAAAACAAAAACCGCGAAAAAAAATTCGGCACAGTCTTTTGCAAGGGAGATTCATATTTAGGAAATTCCTTTTTTTCTTGTTTTGGCGCACTGCCGTTCATGTTCTTTGCGTCCATGATGAAAGGTTACTTAAATTAAATTGTTTTTTTTTTAACAATTAACGATGATAATTAAATACGCGGAGTGACTGGTTTACAAACCGTCACTTTCAGGGCGCCCCGGCACACGACTGAGCGCTTCACTATAAAATTGACTAATATTTATCATGCTAATATGTAGTAAACACGACGTGGTAGACATTAAAAATTTAATCCCTATTACGACACCCACGCTCCGCCCTCGATAGTAGTAATCTAATGGGTGATAAAGTCCATGATCAGCAGATATTGATAACAATTACAGCCTACTAATTTTGTTAACATATTTGAAAAACAATCGGTCAAACCAATTTTCATGTGAAAACAAATAAATCATCAGACTTGGCGATCTTCGTAAAGCCAATAAAAAGATCGCAATATTCATTTCTTTCAATCCTGCTGCTTATTTAGCTGGCCAATGACTTCGTACCACCCTGTCAATTAATTGCGGAAAATGGCGGAGTAAATACATAATTTATTTAACAACTACATTAGCGAAGTATCATACGGATCTCTCTTTATGAAAATATTCTTGCAATGTTCATCAGGGAAATATTTTCATCATCATCATCATCATTTCAGCCATAGGACGTCCACTGCTGAACATACGCCTCCCCCAATGCTTTCCATGTTGATCGATTGGTAGCGGCCTGCGTCCAGCGCTTCCCTGCTACCTTTACGATGTCGTCGGTCCACCTTGTAGGTGGACGTCCCACAGGGAAATATTTTAACATTCTAATAATAATAAAAAATCATATAGATCCAGTAGATGCGCCTATTCAATACAAACAAACAATAAAATCTTTCTCTTTCATCATCATCATTTCAGCCACCGAACTTCCACTGCTGAACATAGGTCTCCTCCAATGACTTCCACGTAACACGGATGGTAGCCAGTAGGTAGGTAATAATCTTTTCTCTTTATAATATTTTATTGTTAGTATTAGTATAGAAAGGTTAAATTATGTATCGCTTTTTTGAAAATCATCATGAGTTAGAATGAACAAGATTTCATCATTGCGGGCCATAATGAAATCTTCAGGTCTTAAAACCTACCTATATTCATTCAGCAGAAAGTGACATTATTATATTAGACAATCAATCTGGATAGGTTTTTAATGGTTTTTTATTCAAAACAACATTAGGTTTACTCCTGGGACAAACTTGACTTTCATTGGTTGGGTTTTTATTGGCGGTAAAAAGTTGACACAGAAGTTGCAGCGGTAGGAATAGTTCCGAAAGAAAAAACAATAGGTTAAATTGAGTCCAGTTTTCAATATTCAGCATAAGTCTGTTGCATCTGTACTTATTGAAATCTTATCGTATAATCAACAACCTTTGAGTACCAAACAAATAGTAGAGTAACTTATATGTATTCAATCTCCATCATTCAAGAGCTCTTCATAAGATCATTGCCCTTTCATAATAATAGCGCCAACGCCATGTTATATCATTAATACATACTTACCTAAAGAAAACCTCTTATTCGAGTAAATATGTATTTCTCCCAATGAAAATTTGTGTAAGTATATGATGGGTTTAAGCCTTAGTTTAGGCTGTGCTATCATATTTTTATTTTATTTTTTATAACAAATACCTCTTAAATTGTTTTAGGTATTTTTGTATCCTGTTATCGTATAAAAATGCGAGAATGCACTGAAATTGAGGAAGCTCGTTTTATATTGCCGAGTATTTCCGTACCCCAAAAGGTTAAAAAGAGCAGTGATAAAATCCTCGTCAGTTTTTATGGGCGTTTTGTAAAAATACTTTACAGGCCTTAAACTGTTATTATTACATTTGTAATTTCTACATCAATTGAGTTTAAGATCAAAAGTTAGTAAACATGTTAGTTAGTTCATGCTAAATTCAGTTCTTCATTCAGATGTTTCAGTAGTCTAGAATTCTAGAATATTAAATCGATTTTTAACAGTCGGGATTCATTAGGCAATATTGATTGGCTCTAGAATTTTAATGGGTGTTACCTACATAATAATTCTAGACTTTTCATTGAAAGTTACATTTTTCGCTGTGGGGATTAATAGGTAAGATTCCCTGTGTAGAACTCTACATAACGAATTCTACACTGTCTAAAGGCGCTGAAGTAAGTATAGCTGTTTTTAATTAAAATAAACTAATAACCTGCATCGCCATTCCGGGGGGGAGCGTGGGCGTCAAACCCAAGGGCCTCGGATTCCATTCGGATATGAAACATTAAAAACAATGTCTACCCTCGTGTTTGCGTCCGTACGCTTAATATTTCGATTTTGATATGCAAATCCAATGTGTAACTGTGCCAAAAGCGTAAACAGTTTTTAAGAACATGTATTCGTTTTATAATACTACCTACTTTAATTTGCCTCGCGTTGATTTCGGTTCTTTAGAGCTAGGTTTTAAACGACTTCTATCATGTGGCTGGTAACAACATAAGGATATAACCCTGGTTAATTCAAACTTAATGAGTCCCCATAGATGAGAGATCGAGTCGATTCTTTTTTGACGGCCCTTCGTTGCACAGAATCACTTTAAAATTATTTTCAGAAAATCTGATTGAGTAACCTGTAATGATCTATCCAAACTGGGAACAAACACATTCACAAAATGATTTCACACTAAGTGTCCCGCCTAGAAATCAAACTAAGAACCGGTGAGTGAAGAGTCTTATGCCCGTTTTCACCATCAATCCCTAATTTTTAAGTGATCCCTATGTAAACAAAATTCCTGTTATGTGTTACCGTAGAAGGTCACTTAAAAATTAGGTATTGATGGTGAAAACGGGCATTACTTTCTTTATCACTGAAGGCGTTCAAAATACTAATTTGGCAAAAGATAAACATGTCCTTTTTAAAAGTCTTTATAGCCTTGAAAATAAGGTATTTTATTACCTAGTGAAAAAGATGTTTTGTAACTAAACTTCTGTGGATTATTTTAACAAACGTTTAACATATTTAGGATATTACACACATCTAATATCAGTGTACATAAAACATGCTCATACAATCATATAAATATGGTGCCAATGCCAAGTAATAGGCGTATATCACAATACAATATACATACATAGACTACAAACAGTTAATTTATTACTTATCCTTTTTACTATTCTATTCTATTCTATTCTATTCTATTCTACTATTAGTCCACTTTTAACATATAAAAGTGATATAAATGAAGGTCAGAGCCTTCTGTCACATGTGCGCAGCATTTATCTCACTGGTAAAGTTATATTCTAAGCTGATAATCCTGTATATATAATTAAGTATCAAACTAATTTATGTACTATCTCTGACGTACACGTGAAAATTAACAATTCAGTATGTTTATGTGTGTATTGAATATAAGACTATTCAAAAGCAATGAAGATTTCTTAATTAATACTATCCCAGGTAGAGGAATCAAACTAACTACATCTCTATTTAAGATTTCATTGGATCAGTTGATTTCCAGTTTATAAATGAAAATTGCGCTGGACGCAGGCCGCTACCAACCGAGTAACATGGAAAGCATTGGGGGAGGCCTATGTTCAGCAGTGGACGTCCTATGGCTGAGATGATGATGATGATGATGAATGAAAATTAGGTACAACTACGGTAATATTATGATTAGGGCTCTATACTAGTGCTAAATGAGACTTGCATAGATAGGTAGGTATATTATTTTTCTATTTTGTAAATAGTGCAAGTACAATTAAATAAATGTAACAAGAATAGTTTAGTTGCTTTAGAGACTTTTCTGGATCCACATCGCGTTTGGCACGAAGATAATTATCATTTTCGATATCTAACTAGGTACTTGTCGACTCAATTCAGTTTATTTATAAACCGATGTAGAGTGTTTCACCGCAACGACTCTTTTTACACGAAAAATTACTAAGGTTGTAATGTAAGAATAATAAATATTTAAAATGTTGATGTATTTTGTCCTACACCTTACAGAGAGTACGGGAGCGGTTGGCAAAAAATGTAACAGTGATGTCATTGGCCTTTTCCAGCTGAATACCAGGACAAAAAAAACTACGGATGACGGCATATCAGATTAGTCTTTATTATCAATGTGATAATTGAGATATCAGAATCACTTATCAGGTAGTTTATAACCATTGGATTAGATTTTACAAGAAATAATCATTTTTAAGAGGTCACGCATGGTCTTCTATTGATTAAATATTTCTAACTTTATGCAATATCATCGCAATCGCGATCCTGCAGATGTTATAAACACGCATAATATTACATATGGACATTTTTACACTCATGGTATACAAAATTTCAAGCTGGAATGTTTTAAGGCTCTTGTTTAAAACCTGTGTAATTAAAATAAATAAATAATATACCGTTAGTAGTACCAGCTAATAACTTATTATGATCACAATTTTGGTCAGATTATTTTAATACAGTTCCAAACTGCAAAGGCTTAACCAAACAATACTACTCGTATGTATGTTACTAAAAGCATACATATAGGTACCTAATTACCGACATTAATAAAGCAGGAGATTGATTGTGTCGAATATATCGATCTACGTATAACAGTAATAATTAATTATTTCTGTAACAATCTAATTAGTATTAAGTATATAGGCAAGTTTTAGTACCTACTAGGCCCTAAGTGGGCCTAGTACTAAAATATTGTAGATACCTAATTACCTACCTTAGTTACGTGACTCTGATAAAGCAGTGTCACAATAAGAATCGTAATTTCCCCACGATGTTTGACTTAAATTAAAGTAAATAAAATATTACAATGTATAATCACCGAAATGCTTATAAGCAAAATCATAATCTAAATGTTACCACGTCATTTATTAACACCAGGAAAAAGTAACCATGCGTCTGTCAGCTCTGCATTAAATGTTTCATTTCTTTCCTAAACTCTAGAAAATAAAACACAATACTGGTGATGAAGTTTTGTATGGAAAATACAATATATCACAAACGAAAATGCATGTACCTAATAAGTTTTTGGGATATTAACTATAACTAGATTCTGCTTCGCCTGCATGAATTGCGGTCTATCACAAAGTTTTATAACGCGTCTTAAACTCTGAACTATTTATTACAAATGTACTAGAACCAGAACTCTAGTGGTATCAAATTAATTACTTTTCCTGC